AAAAAGAGGCCTAACATATCATAGCCATAAAAATTAATAGTCTCAAGGTGCTTTTTCATATCTCCTTTGTTTTACACCAGAGTGTTTGTCCTCAAAAATCTCACCCTTAGTCAAAACTGACCAAAGCATACAGTTGTAGTTATAGCTCGCTTGTCTGGGGCAGTTCTTTACTTTTATGTATGTAATGGACGGTTGAACAAAACTGGTTGTTTTTGCTCTGGCAAGCCTCCAAAACAATTGGTTGAGATGTAGATAACATCTGTTTGTTGTTATGGAGACTTGGTGATCCTTATGCATAATTTCTTCTGAGTGGAACGACACAGGTTGGTGCATTTCAGTACGCTATTTTGTTTGTTTGCACAAACAAAATAGCGTAGAAATGGTCCATATAACTGACTCATACTCCACCGTTCCCGGGCCCTTTTCAGTTGTTGGTCCATAGATAATGAGACTCCATAGTGAAAGTGCTGCTACTGATGTAACACGACATGGTTCATCATTCGCGACAAACACAAGACATACTGTTATGTTACTTATTTGTACCTGTATTGTTTTAGGGTTCAACCCTGGAATTGAAAACACTTTTCTGAATATGCTAGATTCTAAACAAGTGTACCAAATCACTGGAAACAAGGCGTGCCACTTTTACTGCAGTTTTCTAACAGTGAGGTTTTTTTTGTTGTTTTTTTTGTACAATTCTTATCCTCCTTTGGCAGCTTGTGCAACTTTATTTTTAACAGTTTTAGTTCATTTAAACTTTTAAACTATTGCTATGATTATAAACATCAGTAGCTTTTGGCAAGTATCCGTCGTATTAAACCTTATTTTTTAAGAATATTGAAGATAAAATCACATTTGTCTTGACTGACATGTTCCATTGAGTTTCCCAAAGAGGGACAGCAATTTTAGATTAGATTTAGTTTGATTTTTGTCAAATCTAAAATAATCGAAAGAAAGACACTGATTAAGGAAAGAAAGAACCAGGAGCTGAGCCAAGACAATGACAAAGGGTGTTACACCTGCCTGGATAACTGGATTGTCTTCAAGCAAAAATGCTACCTGTATTACGACAAACCAGCTCCTTGGAAGACCTGGGAACAAAGTTGAAGGTTCTGTCAGAAGAATAGTTCAGATTTGGTTGTAATTGATGATCTGGAGGAGCAGAAATTTGTCAGCAGACGTAAACAGTTCCTTAGGATCATATATAATGCCCATTAAAGGAGCATTATATATGGCAAACATCCAGCTGTGCAAAAGCCTCGGTAAACCTGATACCGGCTTTGAGGCACAGCTCCTCCTCTGAGTTGCAGCCTCGCAGAGTATCCCTCTCTCACACTGAGCTCCTTCAGACTAGCCAGCATCTATTAGCAAACACCTAGTGGAACTGGCCATCAGCTGAACTCATTATCCGAACTGCTTATCAGTGCAATGCTGGTAAAAATGTTGAAATGTATGTAGAGGAGCATTGTTAGGATGACTTCAGAAAGAGCTAGAGTTTTTAAAGGTGTTAAATTATGGAGTCAATTTTCTTTTAAGTCATATTCAGTAGTAATATGACTTAAAGTTACTGAAGGTAAGGCAGTTACTTGATTGTGCTGTTTAAGTGCCTGGAAAGTACACAGTACTGCCCCTTTCAGTCATAATTCACTATTTTACGATTCAACCATCAAAAAACATATAAAATACTTGAGTAACTTTTAGTTTAAAGAAATTATCAGTGGCGTCACTGACTTGGCCAAGGGTGATTTTGTTAAAAGCAAGTTCTAACATTCTTTTTTTTTTTTTTTCCCCAACTGGAAAAGTACTCAGGTCAAAGATTGGATTTCTATAAATGTTTTCATGATAGATTTAGCTGTTACAATAAAATTAGAATGTAATAAAAGATTATTTTGTTCTGCCCTGTCCAAAGGTTGAATGGAGAGGTAAAATGTCAAGTCAAAAGTATTTTTTTGTGTAGATATAGAATGTCTCAGCAAGTCTGTCGTTTTCAGCACAGTGACTTCATTTTATTCACCCAGAACATCTAGCTTCATTTAGAGGTATATTCATGGAGGACATGGTCCATATTCACAAAATACTAAAGCAAAACTTGTTTTAATGATTAGTTTCTGACTAAATTGTTCCTCTCTTTAAAGTGAACTTTAAATTCTTGTGAAGATAAAAGTAATTATCTACACATTAATGCCCTCAAGAGAAATCTGAAGCCTCTGGGAGTGGCCATTGGAGTTTTATGAGCCTTTCGAGTTTCTCGAGGAAAAGGGAAAATAGGGAAATTGCTTCAAATTAGATCATGCTGCAGGGATCATGTTTGTGGTTGAGCTCATTAGATATGTTCTCACATCTCCCACCCAGTGTTATAAAGCTTGAAATAAATGTGATCACAGCACTAATACTTTCAGCATATGGAAAACTGCATCACTCCACATGTGGGACTCCCCTCTTACATATATCATCAGTTTTACAACTTCTTTTTAATTATGTTCAGGCTCATAGCATTTAATTGTAAAATCATTTACTTGACAAGAAATGTGTTGAAAAAACACGAACGAGTAAACACAACCAACGCAGATGAAAACTCATAAAACAGTGTATAACACAATTTTTACCTAAGACAAGAGGAGAAAAAAAAATGACTTCACTCATTTGTTTTAAAGTTTAAAAAAGTAAAGATTTATATGAAGATTTTTTCATTGAGAATAAAAACTTTCTTAGAATTAAAGCTTGAAAAACTAGCCAAATAGCACCCCATGAGCCTTACATAATGCTCAGTGGAGTGTAGAGTCTGCCTGGAGTTCTTCTCCAATTTTTTATCACAAAAATCGTCATTTGTGATAAAAAATTGGGATTTGAAACATCATATTTCTGTAGTCCTCAAAACATTATTATGATGACACACTCGCTCTTACCAGCCACTTTAAACTAATGAAACTCAAGTTGGAGGGAAGTTCTAATTTTGACATATAATCACAATGCATCCCCAGTAAAATGGTCTCCTTCATTTGATCCGTTCAGAGAGAAAAACAGTTGCAGCTGAAGCTAATTACATAAATATAGAAGAATTGTTTGGACTTAGCCATAATTGATTTAATGTAATCTGTAGACATCAAGAGATGTTTTGTGCCAACCGAGGACACAAAAAGTGAAAAACAGAGCACCCAGAAGAGCAGTAGCAATTGAAGGTGACAAGTCGGAAAGAGCAGAAGCTTCTTAAAGAGACAGCGACCCAATTTCAAGGCTTTAAAGTCAAAAGCCTTTGAAGTCATATTTGATATATACAGCATTTTCATAACAATTGAAGACAACAGTCACTTGTTTTCTGTGTGCCTGGAAAATAATATAAAAACGTACTTTTATAGGTTTTATCGCTTTAAAAAATGAATTATGCCCTTTTAAAAGGGTTTTACACAACCAATTTGATATTTAAGTGTATTAGATAATCCTGAAATATGTAGATGGAGAACATCATCATATCCCTACTCCCGTTTCCCTGCTTACCCTCTGATCAAAAGTCTGGGTGGACAACGATGAGCTCATGCTGTGAGGAAGTGACTTTGCCATTTGAATGCGCCTGAGTCGGAAGGAGCAACATCTGGCTAAGCCCAGGAAGCGATGCAGGATGCTTGGAGGCCAGGTGTCAGCATTAGCAATGGAACTGAGCCAACCATAACTTGGATTTGAAACTGTATCTGGGTTTGGTATATCTGTCCATCCTTTTACCACCATAACATCAGAGCCTCTTGTTTCCTTGTCATTCTAAACCCTTAGGACCCACCCTTTAGACTCAGCATCTGGGTGAGCAGCTGGCAGCTGTGTGTGCTGCCTGGAGTCTTTTGAAATGATGATGTGACAGACCATTATCAAATGTTTGCCTCCTTTTCTCCTTTTTCATTTGGTGTCCTGTCCTTATTAACAGCAGGAATGTACTCTGGAAAAAAAGAGAGACTTGCACAGGCTTGTGCACAGCTGGGACAGGGTGTGTGCATGTGTGTGTTTACTTTTGTTTTTGCAAGTGTGTGGGCATGTGGATATTTGTGTCCAATATGGTTATTGTCAAAAAATCACTTTGTGTCTATAGTTCAACTGAACGTATCCACTGTGTAAATATGTAATGTGTGGCTTCATAGCCACATATAATAAAGTAATGAATAGCTGATATCCTCACTTGGGCTTTGATTACCACCTTAAGTAGCTTGTAAGATTGCAGGTGTGCTTTGTGGACCGGCTCCTCTGATCTGTCCGGCAGGGTTTGTCTTTGTCTCACTCTGTCTGTCAGGACAGATCACAGTGATCCAGATGTTTTGGCATAGGCGGAACCCAGCATTCCACAATCAATCCCAAACTCCAGGTAGGCCTGTCTGCCTCCTCCTTTCAGGTCACATGCACCCGATCTTCGAAGTTTTGCAACTGACCCAAAATCAAATGCTCACTGGGACACAATGTGCCCTTTTCGGGCATGGTTTGACTCAGTTCATCACCTTTGCTTTAATATTTCCTCCTCTCCAGTGGAAGTTTCAGGACATTCCTCTTTAGGTGGCCACGGGAGTTCCTAATCTAGACAAGCATACGCTAGGGGTGACAGAAAGATCTAATCCAGACACCTCTTTAGATGCACAAGTACATACACAGACAAAGTGGGAGTAGTAATTATTTTTCCTTTTGGCTGCCTGATACGGTGTACTGTCTAGTCTTGCGAAATGTTGTTACTGTCTAGCTGAGTCTTAGTGATTGGTGGGGCTCTTTGCAGCAGATGTCCTGTGAGCTTAAAGAATTTTATGCTCTATTAAATTAATTAAAATAAAAGAGCCTTAAATTTGCTTCACCTCATCTATAAAATCAGTTTGACAAAGCTATGACCTATACAGCATCTCTCAAAAGTTCATTTAATTTGATTTCACAGTGATCAACATACAATTTGTTTTGATGGGTGTGTCTTGTTTCACTGTGCTTATTTGTTGGAAGTTAATTAGAGTTTTTTTCTGTTTTGATTATGTGATCTGCAGAACCCAAGCAAGACGAGGACCTGCGTACTCCTCGCCTCAGCAGAGTGGGACCTCCCGTACCGTGAAGCGTTATCCATCGTCCTCTGAGCCCATAACCTCCAATGCCCTGCCCAATGGCAACGGCTTTGCAAACGGCCACAACAGTGAGAACAGAAACTGGTACTCCCACAGGAACAGACAAAGCAACACCCCATCCCTTAATGGCCAGAGGCCTCCTAGTGATAGCCATTTGCAGGGGCAGTTCAACAATGTGGTGCATCCAGCAGGTAATAACAAGAAACTAATAATTTCTATACCATTTCTTTTCTAAAAATATTTCTTTTTAGTCTTCCTATTTTACCGGGGCATTATCAGAAAAAGAAGCAACATCATAATGTATGTGTAATACACAAGAGAGATGTTTTAGAAGAAAAACTTAAAGATTACAGAGTTAACATTTCAAAGTGTTTATTGCAGCTCATGTTTTTATCAGAGTGATTAGAGCTGTTTGCATTAATAAAACAGCAGCCTCAATTGTATTCCCTTGATAATGTAGATTCTTACCTTAACTGTGACATTTGCAAAAGCTTTCAATCATTTGCAAATTCATCAGAATTTCTAGAGACACACATTGAAAGCTCCAAAGGATAAATTAGAGCAATTTTGCTGAAATATGAAATATGCCTTCCTGTTATCTATGAAGAATATTACTTTGTCAGCTGCCTGAACATCTAGACATCTCACAGAAAAAAAACTTAAAAAAAAATGTTTCTTCTGATTTTATTTTAGATATCTTATTAAAATAGTCTTCATCACTCAGCTACAGAGTCCTCAAGGAAGAGTGTTACTGTCAACCGCGCAGCTCTTAATAGATTTGATTTTCTAAGTTTCCAACAGGCTAGCGCAAATTGAGCTAAAAATAATCTTATTCTAGTCTCCAGGCAACTTTTATAAGACAAACACACTCATAAACTGGGATACAGTACACCGTATCAGCCACAGAGCCTAACCCCACAAGCCCATTAGCCTCTGTGGTCTGCAGGACTCAGGCAGATGTTTTATATCATTGCTGCATTCATTGTATATCTTTGCACTAACCTCTCTGTAATAACAAGCAATGATCTCTGGGGCTTCTTCTTGCAGTAGAAACAATTTGACCTTATTATTTCTACTTTTTACTCTCAAATATGTTACCCAGTGAAAACAGCTGTCTGGAGATCTGGCTTCTGTTCTTTTTCTTGTTTTGTGCCAGGTCTGCGGCTGTTGAGCATATTCCCACCATTACACCATGTTCAGATGCACTTACTCTCTCTTTGTCTCCATAACACATCCACACATCCACAACACCTTCTCCTCAAGATAAAGTGCTTTGGAGCCTCGCCCAACACCTAACAGTTCTCTCCTCCAGCCCCTTTTCCCGGCTTGTGCCACATTGCTCATTTGGCTGTAGTGTTCCACTAGCCGACCGTCAGCACACACCCTTACGCACTTAAAAACCCTCTGTTCGCCTGGATGAAGAGTGTGTCACTGTGAGGCTGGAGTGGAGGAAAGATGCAGCTCTTCTTAAGCCCATTTTGCCTCCTGTCGCTGCTTCTTCTCAAGCAGATGTGCTCGTGTCTTCCAGGGGCTAACCTCACCTCGAACCTTGACCGGATTAAGATTGTCTTCACACCTATGCTCTGCCGAAGGGTGTGCAGCGGCGGGCGCTGCTACAATAGCTGCGAGAAGGGAGATGTCACCACTGTATACAGCGACAACTCGCAGCAGCAGCAGCAGCAACAGCAGCAGCAGCAGCAGCAGCAGCAGCAACAACAGCCAAAGAACCAAGGCTTCAGACTCTGTAAGTTTTGAATCCCGGCCCTCAACTCCTGCTTCTCTTCTCCCTCATATGCGTTTTTTATTTTGGGGTGGGGGATGGGGGGGGGTGTTGCTTTTTTGACTTCTCAGTGTCTCTTTTGTTTACTTTCCATTTCCCACACACTTTACATGTGTCTCCATTCTGATATCTCATTCCTCTTTTATGAGGAGAGCTTGACAAAATGGATTCCCGGTAGCATGCTGTCTGTTCCTGACACTAAGCACAAAGAACAAGGAGAGTGGTGTAGATTAAACTTGAGTTCTAAATTAAAAACTTACTCTAAAGGAGGAAAAAAACAACTGAGAAAGCAGTAGAAAAGCACTGTAAAATGGGGCTAATCTCTCTTCATAGACACACACGTGGAGTTGGTGGTCCCACGCTCCCAGCACTTAGCCCCATCTCTTTGTGGTTTGCACCTTGTGGTTGGCCCTGCTGTTAACCATTTAACGTGCTCCCTGGGAGAGCAGAAGCGAATGAAAGAATCGACGGAGAGGCAGAAGGAGAGAAAGAGTAGCAGCATGAACAGGATTTTATGGGGATTACACTAAACCTGCCATTTATCCAGAGGGCTTTGCTCCAAATTCACACAGAACGGTGTCCATGGGAAGGGAGGGGCTGGTCAGTGCCAGGGCAAGGGCGACCCAACCCCTGCATGCTTCTTGTTTTTTTTCATCAGTTTTAGGGGTCTAGCTAAGAATAATTAATAGGGGGAGATTAGTTGAAAAAGCTGTTTGTGTCTCAGACAAGTGGTATTTTTATTTGTCCCACATCTTAAGTTTCTCAGTTCAATTGACTTTTTTTTGTTGTTGTTTTATGAGTATGCAGTCATCTGGGAGTTGGTACACCCATGTGTTGACTAGGTGTCGCTTGATTGATCTTGAGAATAGTGAGAGCATCTTGCGTGCTTTGTGCAACACTGGCCTGCATTTTATCTCTCGACTTTTCTTTTATTTAAGGAGAGCAGCACATACTTTATGTTTTACTCACCAATTTCATCGTATTTAATCAAGATTTTGCGTGTTAGATCAACACACAGTTTGCATTATTGTGAAATCTGAAAAGTGAGTTTATTGTCTGTCTCGACTGGGTTCGCACATTATAGAATGACATTTTGCTCATTTTTGTTTGCAAAAATTGCTTAATCCCAGTCAGATTAAATGGAGCACATCCTTAAACATTAGATTTCAAGTCTTTCCATGGATTCACAATTATATCTATGCATATACTTGGCAGTCTGATATTTATGCTGCATTGACATATTGGGGTCAGTGTCCTGCTGGAAGGTGAACCTTCAACCCAATTTCAAGTTTCTAGCATCCTCGACCAAGTTTTTTTCTAATACTGCCAGATATTTAGATCCATCCCTCATCTTTTCCATATTGATCAGTTTACCTGACCCCTAGCTGAAGAAAAGCATGCCCACGCAGGCTCCTGCTGACCCAGTTTTCATGATAGTGGTTCTAATGGTTCTCTTATCAACAGATTTGTAATGGGAATCTCTGCAGTTCCTCCAGACCCAACATGACCTCTTGAAAGCTTTGCATGTTGATGATTTCCTCTCCTTTCCCATCCTGTCAGTTCAGGTCGAGAGCTTGTCTTGGTATGCTTACAGAGGTGTCATACTCATTCCATTATCAGATGATGGATTAAACTCTCTATTTCATAGACTAAGATCCCTGACCTTTCTGGTTGGTTCGTTTATCTTCATGAGTTGCTTATTCACTAATGTTCTCTTGACCTTTGACCTTTGAGGTCTTCACAAAACAGTTATAATGTGGTGAAATCACACACAGGTGGACTCTGAAAGCAATTTATTACACTTTTGTTCATTGGTGTCATTGTCAAGGGGACTGAATACAAATGCGCATAGCAGCTTTTTAAAATGTATTTTTAGTTGTTCAAAAATAAAGAAGAAAGAAAACCATGAACATTTTTCCTTTTCACAATTATGGACTACCTTCTGCTGGTCTAACATAAAATCGGATGAAGGATTTTTACTTGGAAAAAAATATAAATAGATCAATGTCTACTGAGGGTTTCGCAATGTGTTGAATTTATGCAAACAGGTAGGAGTAAACCAGTCCTAAATTTAAGATCTTAACTGCAAATCTAGCTGACTTATAAAGTATAAACAGACTGTTGCTGTAGATTTACATCCCCATTAAAAGGATTATAGAATAAGGCATGGATATTCCAAACACTTTTAACAGAAGCCTCCCAAAATATTACATTCCCCACACCTCAGCAACCTACCTCAACAGTGTGCTTATATCCGCCCCCGCCGAATTTCCAGAGATCTCCTCTTATTACATAAAGGCACGTCTTGAAAGACCATAAGCTCAAATGCTGTAATTCCTTGGGATGTGCATGGATGTCCAGGAATGTCAACAATTTCATCTTGTTATGTTTAATGCATGGTGCAATAAACTCTGTTTGCATAATTACAAGAGGCTTTTGTTTGATTCACTCCCTTTTTCTTTATGCGACATTCTCTGGAAATCTGGTTGTAAAGTGAAAAGTGTTTTTGTTTAGAGATTCCTGAATGGTCAGACAGAGTCGTCAGCACTATGTGGGTCCAAAAATAGTTAATGCCAGCCTGGATCTGGTCTGACACAGAGCAGCACAAACACATTGACTCCTTCAGCTGATAATTTAGCCAGCATGTTGAATCGCAGGAGGCCCCCCTGTTTGTGTGGCTCTTTTTTTGATGTTGTGAATTTCCTATCACTATGTTCCTTTTGTTACTTTTTCTGTCGTTTCTGTTTAAACATTCCATTTTAAGCCCTGACATTTGTTGATATTTTTCTGTTTTTATACCATTGCCCGCTCTTGGATATCCCTGCAATGACACTGCTGGTAATGTTGGTCGACAGGGAGCTCATTTCCCTGCATGCCATCAAGACTGTCCAGTCTCTCTACAGTCCCTGTTTTCGCCTTGTTAATGTGGGACTGTCTGCCTGAAAGAGACAGAGAGGATGCAGTTCACAGCAGGATTCTGCCATAATGAGACTCTTTCATCTCGTAATATGTGGATACAGTCCTAAAAGAAGGCCCCCAGATTTTCTTAATAGAGAATTGAAAAATGTCCCTTTTACAATTATTTATATCCTGGTATGTTCTTTGTTCATTATGGATGAATAGATTTTTTTAATTTAGACTTTCTTTGATGTTGTATCGGAGCAAATCTGTAGGGGGGAGCAGGTCTGGGTATGCAGAAGGTTTACCAGGGACCCCTACCTTAAGACAAAAGTGTTTGAGAAAGCAGCACATCTGGCAAGTGCAGGATTTTTTTTCTCTTTATGAAGAATTGCAACCAATAAATCAAACTGGAGACAGAGTATTATTCAGAAATTTTTTACAAAAGGAGAGGCATGAAAGAAAAAGTTGGCATTTAAAAAATATCTCCTGAAATGAGGCGCCTAGTGGCAAACAGCATGACCACTGCCTACTGTTTGCAAACAAATCCTACCAAGTGGAAACCTTAGGAACATGCCCTTCCTATTAGTGCTGCCCCTCATCTTCCCCATTACCTAATCTTTGTTGTTGAAAATCATTCAATTAAAATGTTGGGTGTTGTAATCTCCCATCATTCACTTTGTGCTCCTTCTCTGCAGTCTTCTGTCAAATCCCCTGCATGAACGGAGGCCGATGCATTGGCAGGGACCTCTGTTGGTGCCCATCGAATTCAACTGGGAAGTTTTGCCACCTACCAGCACCACCACCTCCCAGACCCACTCCTCACAGCCGCAAGGAAGCGACCCACCAGGCAGCGAAATCACCATCCCATTCCACGTACACTTTGCCACTCTCCAATCAGCATGGTAAACATACTTTCAAAATGGGGACAGTGTGTTCTATTTCAATTTATTTCAAGATGGACTTCGGAGATAGGTTTTAATCTTTTAAGCAAGAGTCTGTTTAAAGATTATGACCAGTTGATATATAGTAGTAGACTTGTCTCTTGGCATCTCTGTTTAGTGCGGTCACAGTTTGTCTTAGAGGCTCAATAAACATCTCATTTGAAAAGTACTGATATCAAGGCTGTTATTGTCTTATAACAAATTTAATCTCAAAGCATCATACCTTTATTGGGAACTCTATGTAATGAACATTTAATCCAATATCACATCTGCATTGGTTGGTATTAAGAGAGAACATAATGGCTCCTTCCATGATGGGAGTTGAAGGCGGATAGCAGTGAGACGCCTACTGTGAAAAGAAAATTTAAAATATTTCCAGTCAAAGTAACTCTTGATAAATGGAGACAAGAAGCAAAACTTTGAAGACAATTATATTTCTAACACTGCCTCACTTTTAATTAGAACAGTTAATCTGACTTGAAACACTTTCTTGTTTATAATTGTCCAGTTCAAATCAAATTATGACTAAACTAAAAACATTTCTTGGTGATTTTCACCATTAGCACTGAGAGGATCACAACATCAAGAAGGTACTGAACGATGTACTGTCAAATAGCTCAAAGGGAATTAGCTATTTCAAAGTAAAGAAAGTCAAGAAATATCTTTTTTGAAAATTTGTACCATTTTCAAGGTTATGGAAATTAACTGTAACAACAATAAGACACTGAGAAAAGCAACACCACTATTTCACATTTTCCAACAGATAAAGTCAAGAAGATATTGTAGCTGTATTTTTAAAAAGTGTTTTAACTACTTTTATTGACAATTATAGCTCTTAGTGAGGTTAGCATATCTAACTATTACTGTATTTTCTAAATTTTTCTATATTCGTTATCTTAGAGCTTTTTGTAATGTCACAGCAAACGCCCAGCCACACAGGGCCATGGCACCTGGACCAGTTGCCTTCAGCCCAATATCTGATCCAGGAATGACATCAGTCTGGGTTGCAATATAATATTGGATCAAATCAGTTTTATCTCAACTATCATCATTAAGTTTGACGCAAATACTTTTAAATGCTTTTTAAATGCTCAGAGGGCTCGATTTTGATTTTCAGCACTGTTTATAGTGTGGAGCTCTGCTTCTGTGGGACAGCTGTGGAGGCCAGACTCTATTTTAAGCAAATGAACTAATGGATGACTCAGTGGAAGTCCGGACATAGTTTGGATAAGGGTTCTTTTATCATAACAGCAGTGGTTATTAGTAACAGAGCTGAGACATTGTGATCTTAAAAAAAAATATATATATATATATATATATATATATATATATATATATATATATATATATATATATATATATATATATATATATATATATATATATATTTCATATATATATTTTATATAAAATATATATTTTTTATATATATTTTATATATATAAAATCCTTAATATATATAAAGGATTTGCTTCTTCACTATCCCCACTTTGGAGTTAGGAGGTTTTTTGTCCCATTTAATATTGTTATCTCTGTTGGTATCTCAATCTGCTGAACAGTAAATAGAAGCATATTAAGTTAATTAAAGAGACAAATGTCCATGTTGTTTTGTCACTGCACATAAATTTTCCATTTTGTGTATGTGCTTATTCAAACAGAGGCTGAGGCTTGTTAGGGACGCTTGATAAAATCTGCGTCTTTTACTTGGACGTTGCACTCTGTCTGGAAGATTGTGATTTATGAGAGTGGGTCAGGATTCTGGGAAAAAACCCTGGCACTCCCTGAAGATAGATGCTTCCCCTTCTGTCAGAAAGACAAAAGAGCTCGTTCTAGACATTGCAACATCTTCTAAGCTCTACAGTAAATCTGTTTTTGGTATTTAAATTGATTTGATTTAAACCAGAAAATCCCAAACTCTTTGTGTTCTCCTTGTTGCGTAGTTGTTCACTGCCAGAAATTCTGTCTACTCTAGATCTCATAATTTGCAGATGAAGCAAGTGTTTGTTGAACAAGTTTGTGGGTGATGTTAGCTGATAGCTCAAAAATTGGAAAATGTAAATACAAGTGGTATGCTTTGGATGTTTATGCTTCTTCTTATAATATTGTACATTTTAAAATGTAAACTATCCAATGTTTTGTGTAAACTCTGGGAATCTCTGTCCCAAGTGTCTCTCCACCCATCGCTGGTGAATGTCCACATACAACACCCGGCAGAGGCTGAAGTCCAGGTTCACCAAGTAGCTCGAGTCCAGCCTGGACAGAGACCAGCCACCACAGATGGAGCTCACTCTGTCCAGCAGCGTTCCCAGCCTGGAAACGGACATGAACATACGAGTGAACATAACGGCAGACTCACACACGGGAACGGCCACTGGAATGGCCACAGCACAACTTCCATCCTCCAGAATGGACACGTTGGCAGATGCTTTCAGGAAACAGTAGATGGACAGGTATTATGTTAAGCCTTAGAAAAGCAGTGTTTAAACTGTCATCACTAAGTCATCTTGGAGCATTACACTCATGTTGCAGAGGACAGAGGAGAAAAGTGATTTCATTTTCACATTTTTTTTGCATTCTCTGAGATCTATTGTATGAAAAAGAAAGATAAGCCAGGAGAACGATTTATTTTGGTTTGTCAAAGTTTTATGTACATTGGCCAATAAGCTCGGAGAGAGGAGAAAGAGGAGAACTTTGTCCTTCTCTTTCTTCTCTTTGGTCCTCCTTTGCATTCATGAAACCTTTGCTAGCTAAGAATGAGAACAGCTAATGGTTGAACAAACTTTTGTAAAAATGGTGGGAATTATTTCCATCAAATATAGCTAATGTTGTTAGAAATGAACAATTATTAAATTTTATGTTAACCATCTAATATGCCTGGCTAAAATGTACACAATTTTACTGGGTCAAATTTAATGCCCTTCAAAATCTATTTTAAGGTTTACAGTAAGAATAAAGTATGAAAATTGCAAATGTAACCCAGATAAGGAAAGTAGATGCCTCACTATCTAATGTGATAGCTAATATAGCATTTATTCACTTTGATGCTCTTTGCTTTTAGCTATGCAGTTGCAACAAAGTATTGGTTCATAAGGGAGTCTCGCTGTTTTTTGTTTTTTTTCCCCCCCAGTATTAGATCCCATTTTCTCTAATTGGATTTAATAGTAGCTTGCAATTGAACTTTAGAGTCATAATGTCAAAAAAGAAGCAGAATCTGGGCATAAAAGAAGCATAAGAAAGCATTTGAATAAAGTTTTCCCCTTCTTTCTGCCAGAAAGAATTCACGTTTCCCAAAGGAAATTTCCCATGTTACATCACAGGTATTAGCTAAAAATCTAATAACTACAGTTTGGGAGCCTCTCTCCTTGTTTTTTTTGTTTGTTTTGTTTTTACCAAATACCTTAATGAAGCACACAAAGAAGTTCACAGATGGCCTACGTATCCAGTTCACTCTGAACTTAGAGAAATGTTTTCATCAAGCATATTCTGAATCAGCAACACATATGACCTTGCCAGTGCACAAACACTCAGGCATAAACAGCCATGCATGCTCAAACATATGATCGTATCAAACTTACTTCACAGATCTAACACAGCTGTATGTCATTGCAGTGTGACAAACCTCTACCAGGCCTAACCAAACAGGATGATTGCTGTGGAAGTGTGGGGGCGTCATGGGGTTTGAACAAGTGCCAAAAGTGCCCAACCAAACCAGGTAATCCTTCAGTTTAGAATCAGTCAGAATGAGTGCTTTAATTTTTAGAGCTTGGTTATATAACATGTTTAAATCTGATGCATAACCTGTTTTCTATACATTTTCAATATCCCTGCTTGTTTTGCTTGTTTCTCTAGTTTTTCAGAAATTAACAACTATTTTTAATAAACTTTTCGATGCCAATGTCTGTCCTTCATAAATTGTTTATCAAAACCCTTAATTTAATACAATGACTGATAATCGAGTTTAAGACTCAAGTTAAAACAATAAAGATTTCAAGACTTGCATTCTAAAGGTTCAAAACATGACTCAAACTCGGGATCAGGGAGCTGAGTCTGATAAATAACTTTGACTTTCCATTCAGATGTTTCATTCTAAACTTGAACTTGTCACTCAATGACTAAAAACTTGTGTTGGATTTGTGGTTTAAAGACTTGACATTTGACTTGGTCAAGAAACCACACTTTGACTTTCCACTAAAGACTGAAGACTTGACCTGAATTGACCCTTAATGTTTAAGGCTTGACTTAAACTTGCCACTAGAGGCTTGACTTGGTCTTACCCTTTAAAAATTGAGACGACTTGAACTTAACCATCAAAGATTTGAGGCTTTACTTGGACTCGGGCCTCAGAGACTGGAGACCTGACTTTGATTTGGCTTTTAGAGACTCAAAACTTGACTTGGACTCTTAAGTTAATAAAGACTTAACTCTTAAGTATTTATTCTTGAAAGACTTAAGAGACTGGACTTGCCTCTTAAAAACTTGAGATTTAATTTGGACTTGTCCATTGAAGACTTAAGTTTTGACATCAACCCTTCAAAAATGTGAAACGACTTGGAGTTACCCCTTCATGACTCAGAACTCAACTTTTATCTATCATTTGAAAACTTTAGACTCTATTCTTATTTACTTTTTAAAAACAAATGCTCAACTTTGATTTGCACTTTCTCAACAGACTTAAGACTTGCGCCCCACATACTTGAAATTTGAGTCGGTCTTCACCCTGAAATGACTGAAACTTGATTTTGACTTATTCTTGAAAGACTTAAGAGTTAATTTGGATTTAGCCTCTTAGAGTTGAGATTTGACATGGACTTGTCTCACAAAATTGTGAGTCTTAATTTGGACTTACCCTTTATAGACTTTAGATTTGACTTGGACTTATACCTCGAAGACTCAAATTAACTTTGATGATCATACATCGAACGCAATCTTTCTGAGACAAGTTTCTCACTCTTACATCCAGAGGTTCAACTGAAATGGTTTTCACTTTCATAAAACCAAACCCTGGCTGCAAATAAAAACACATTTAGCACACTGATGAGGTCCTGGCAGGCACACCACCCATCTTGTGGGCAGAAAGACCCAGTGTGGCCTTAACAGTGAGGAAATGAAGGACTCTCCGACTCGAGCTGTGGTAGGTTTGAGGAAAAGCAGCTGGGTGGCTGCATGCCGGCAGGCTGGGTGGGTGGCAACTCTGTCCACATTAGACGAGGGCTGGCCACTCGGTCTGACAACTCCAAATGGCATTGGGATTCACTATTTGTCCTTGCATGGAAGATTCATTTGTCTTACAGTATTCTTAATCATATTATGGCAATGCCTACATATGCACCATGCCTGAACCGTGTTTGACTGGACCTTAATCAGAAGCAGATACACGCTCTCTCTGTCTCCTCCATCAATAATGTCTATCCGTTCCTTCTTGGCTCAACCTCAGCCTGCCTCATTCCCGCTCTTTCTGTGTCTTCAGTGTGATCTCTTTTGGCTCCCAGATGTTTTCCTCTTCCCCTTCCTTTGATGTTTTGGGGGTAAAAAAAAGAGCAAATACCCTGATTGCTCCTTTTTGTGGCTGTTTTGGGGGAGATAACATGCTGTAGGCTGTGGGGTCACACGCAGGAAGACACAAAAAGAATAAAGAGAATGTTAGAAAGGAAAAATTTAAGTCAAAATGAAGTCATGTACTGTGTCCCAAAGGCCTTAAAGGAAAATTTAACATGAAAAATACTTTGAATTTCCTCTCACTGTTGTTCTCAGTTTGGCGCTTGAATTTATTATTAAGCTCTAGTACATTCTTCTTGGACCGATCAGGGTTCTTCAGTAATTGTGTAGTTTGGACACTAGAGCAGCCCCTGAAAAATGATCGTATTCCTTCATTTTTTTCACTCTGAATGTGTCAACTGTGAGGTTTAAGCATCGAGAGAAGTGTTATAGCCTTATGCAAGCCTCATACATCTCACATTGAGTATGTGATAATTTTGCCATAAAAGCTCAGCTTGTGTCTAGGCATGCAATGCTGCCATTGGCCAGTTTATTGCCAGCCGCAAAATGCACCAGTGACTGAGGGAACAGCATCTTTTTATACGCAAAGAAGATGCCGGTGTAAGCACAGTTTAATAGAGTTTGGGGATTTAGTTTTTCCTTCCTGTCTCCACATTAAAGTCAGCATATTTACGTGGGTTTCATGTGACCCACTGTTAGAAACTCATCGTATTCTGGGTGTGTCTGGGAAGTTTTGTACAAGCATTGCACAGCTCTTTATTATGAAGCAGGACATTATTCACCATTGCAGAAGAAGGATTTTATGTTGTAGTTGTGGAAATTGCTGTGGGTTTGTGTATGTGAAGGAGAGTGGTCATACTGGAGGTAAGAATGCCAGTCTGTCCCGTCTTACTGGGAGACGAAGCCTTCGGGAGCCAGGACCTTTAAAAGTCACATGCTGAGGATTCCTGCAGTAATGAGATCCAGATCAAGCAGAACAAGCTGTAGTTAAAGCCATCCTTCTGGCTGACATGAAGAGGTGGAGTAACAAAACAGGCCTGCACTTAGTTCCAAAATCGTTGTATAATTGCAATTTATGAAACTAGTACAAGTAGAGATTCTTGGACTTGAATACTAATAAAACATTTTTAGCAGTGCCATCAAATTGCTTTGGCCCAAGTCCGACCGAGCATGACTTCCTGTAAGCACACTGGCAACCCCTCCCTTACTGTACGCTTCACAGTTATTGGAGTTTCACAAGCTATTTGTTTCTGCATCTGTCAGTGATGAGTATCATCCTCCCTGTGACTCTCCCAAGAGGAGAGTCACAGCATTAGTGGGAGGCTTCACATCAGATGTCCTCAAGGTAAAAAGTAACGTAACCCACCCACAGGAGCGCTCAATTTTTCTAACTGAGAGTCATAGGGTTTATATTTTGCTTCTCTTCTATTTGGGCCTTTTTGCAGTGAGGAATAAGTCAACTGGCTTTTTTTCCAATTTGTACACTGCTGTCGTACTCATCCATTGCTATTTTGCACCTAAAGATAAAGATTTTTATCATTTCTTGTTTTTATGTAAGAAAATACCTTCTTTAATAAAATTTTAAACAATCTTTTCAGTTCAATGTTTACAGTAACAGTACCGTTTTTAATTTTTTACTTTTTATATGAAAATTTTCTTTCACAAGATTTATGTACAATATAAAACTTTCAACATTTCAGAGGAAAAAGCTGTATTGGGGACTCTGTTCTCTATGAGGTTCAGTTTGGATTAGTCAGATAAAGGGTAAGGGTCAACGGAGCGCCACCACTTCCAGATTTTCCCCATGAACTCATCCTTTTGAGATGTTTCATCAATTCCCAAAACATTCAATTTACCTCCACAGAGGGCCAGAGCTTGTGCTTCCTAATTGTATGAGCTATGATCAAACATGAATACTTGTTAACAGCCAAATAAGCCAAAAAAAAGGGGATTACTTGGCCTCTGAGACAGAACACATGCTTTGGAACAACTCCACGACAGCTTCTCATTGTAATTTGATAGAGACGTCACATGCCTCTGACAATATTTTATCCACTGATGTTGACATAGTGACATTCCTTCACAGCTAGAATGATGAGGCTATTAGCTGGGCAACAGCATGGCTAATCACGGTTGAGGAGACCTAATCGAGATGAGAAATTAATCCCATGAATATCTTCCTCCAACTGACTAAGTTAAGGAACAGGAATGCACCGTGGAATGCTTTCTCCTGGAAGGATCCCAGGTGGTTAATATTCCACAGTGAGTTGGAGATTATAAAGGAATGTGTGTCTGGTTCAAATGTGTTTGAAGTGGCTCACACTGTCATCAGTATCTCTGATGCACTTGGAAGTAAATTGTCAAATTATATGCAAAAGGTAATAATGCGTAACTTTATGAAAAGAAAAATAGCATGTTTTAGGTAAAGAGTTGGGTTGTTTATCAGAGACTGTTTGCTTCTGTTGTACATGTTTTGTAGGTGGACTCCACTCAATATGTTAGATGTTGGAGATGAAAAGATCAAACTAACGCGGCCTTTTGTGGGTTTTAGATTGTCAATGTCATCAAGGATGTTAATGTTAACTGTGTTTATCCAGCAGATAAACCTCAATTAGTTTCAATAGGAGGGACTTATTGAACACATTTCATACTATGTGGGTCCTCCTGTTTGGTAAGTGCTGCCTGTGACAGTAATTTCTGTTTTCTGCGTAAAAAACTTTATCCTTTTTTGTTCTAAAGAGAGTTCTGGCTTAAACTCCAAGAAATGAAACATTTTCTAGATGAGCTTTATTTGCCCTTTATTCTGTAATAGCTAGTTGGAGATCAAATCTTTGGATTGGATTCTAAGTAGATCTTGGCTTTGGTGTTGATGATTTTCTTACAAGGTTGCACCCCTGGGAAGGGTAAACGAGAGTGTCTCCTGTTTCTGTCCCGTGTTTTTATCCCTTCTCCTTCTTTCTTCTACACATTCTCAAGTTTTCCATCCTGCTAAGTGAGAAAGTGTGGTTGTCTGCAAGCAAGTCTCCTGAGAAGCTGGCAAAAAGCCCTGAGGCCTCTGATTGATAGACCAAGGCGCTCCATCGTCTTAGAAGAACAGCCTAAAAACTGGGAGGTCTACAGATACATTGCAATAAATTCTACTATTAAAGATTTCTGGACAGCTTGAGAGCACAGATTACCTAAATTCCCATCTCCCGTCTCAGTTTGCTGGTTTTCCCACCCTTATATGTCTTCTTTCAATGTGAATAGGCTGTCTTTTCATTCATAATAAGCTTCAGGGCCATTTATTGAAAAATAATTTATGTTCATATCAAAGCAAGACATAAAGGATTTCTCTTCATTCAAGTTGGCACAACACAGGCAAAGCAGCGCCCCTGAAGGAATTTGAATAACACTTTCAGGTCAGAGAATTTAAGCAAATATTACTGAATATTCTCCAGTAGAATGCACAACACAATTGAATGGAGACGAGAAATTAGTGAGGGGTGACAAAATCTTTTGTTGGACAAGGCTAAGTGGATAGACAACAATTGGTAGATTTTTGTCTGTCCTTGTTTGGGTCTGCAGTCTTAGGTGACCCTAATGATGCGCAACTTGAGCTCACTCTTGCAAACCGCTGCCCAAGTAGCTCTACATTTTCTACACAAATGATTTTAGATTGAAGCATGGGAACCATTGTCAAACTCAAGACTCAGCAGCAGGTTGGCTTTCTATCATTGCCATCCAGTCTGCCCATTTGTCCTCTAAACTCTGACATGGACGAGGGATATTTGTCTATACAAAAGCCCTTCATTGGATATTTCTCTTTCTTTATACCTAGTAGATCTCCAGGTGCTAAATCAATCAGGCCATCCCATCTGGCACCAAGAGCCATATCATCAATTTAATCCGCTTTCTTCTCCATGCTGAGGCTCGCTTTGAACCTCATTTGCAATTTGTATTAACAATCAGTTGAATAGATATACCTTATAAATTGACCAGAGTGTATGTTAAAATTTGATTATTGAAAAATAAAAACCTCAGGACCGCAGCTAAGCTATACCTGTGGATACATAATGCAGCCATATTGGATTTTAATGTTAGGTTTGGCAAGAAACCTCAGGGTTTCCCACTTAGTTTTTGACATCATGGGTCCTTTCTTTTGTTTCCCTCAAGTTGATATTTGGGTATTTTAGCTTCTCAGTAAAATGGTTTACATGACTCATACAGTTCAAGCAGTTCAATTTCTTGTCCTCCTCCTGCAACAGAACAAACTAAGAAAGGCCAAGTCCTAGTATGCCAGTATGGTGGTACTTGGAGGACCTAATTTTTACTGCAGGGATTTGCCATATAAGAACCATTGCTTTAAAATACTTGAATAATTGAAAACAGCAAGAACCCTGTATGTTTTTAGAAAAAAAAATAAAGGCAGTCAGTTTGAAGTCAGGTCATTGATGGCATCTGTGTGCTGAAGCTCAGCAGCTGGTTTTTGACACTCTGCAAACAAATTGCCCCCAGGGAGCAATAAATATGTACTGAACTGAACTCCAGTAACAGCCACTCTTAGGGCACACATGAGGAAATGTTAAGCTCCATCTGCCAAATAATATAGGGAAATAAATTTTAGGAAGCCTTTTGCTTCCTGAAAATTAGGAGCAAGTTTTTTTTCTTAAAACATTGAAGTTCCCACTGCCTGCAAAGGTCTTTTCCTACCTACTAATAAGCTTTATTGAGACACAGCGGCCTCCCCTACTGGGCTTCCCTTGGCACATGCATATTTCTGTCACTCAGGTCTAAATTTCCCTGATCCCATCGCTGCAGGAAGACATGCCCGTCGCTCCAACACAACAACTAATTACTCTGAATCCTCTGAGTCGGATTATCAGGGTGTTGAGGATGATGAGGGGATGGACGGACAGGATGAGAGGCATTACTTTGACACATCCGCCCCCACCTCTCACTCGCGTTTCAGGCTGCCTCCCTCATCATGACCCACTTCTGCTCCGTCAGTCCTCAGGTACACTGACCCTGCTTGGTCGACCGGGTCACAGCAGGACCATAACACAACTTCCAGGACCCTATTCCCAAAGAGCCTCCATGTGCCAGACATTCCAGTAAGCCCTGGTAAAATGAGACAGCATTGTGACAGATTGCAGGGTGTTATTTTACTCAAACGTGTTTGAAAAAGCTCAAAAAGCACTGATTGTTTGCTGTAAACAGTGTGGCTTTTAATGTGTAATGATGAAAGAAAATATGCCACTCTGTCTGGTCTTGTTAAGGATCCAGATGGCCCTTTACATCATTTAAATCCACCTATCTGTCAACATGTAGTCACAAACACCATCTAACTCTCCCTAAACACTCCAAAAGAGAAGAGTTGCATTCTTTTCGCTGGTAAATCAGTGATTGCGTCGTTTATGGCATACGTCAAGTTTGTTTTCTCACTTTGGTTGCCCTGGCATCAGATTCAAAGCAAGGCACTATTTTGGTCCAGTCTGTCATGGATGGGTGTGGTGGATACTGAGGGTGGGCTTTCAAAAAAAAAAGCAGGAATGTGAGGACTAAGAAAACCACATGACGTAGTCAACCTAAATAGGACATGCAGAATAAAGTAGATAAAAACCAAAAGGAGAACATAAAATTTGTGTTATGCATGTTTGGATTATTGATACATTTGATACATTTATTGTAATTTTCATTTAGGAAATTAAAGAAAATATATTGTCTTGATGCAATTCCATGGAAGCATAAATCTACACTAAAGAAGCATCTTTTTCTGCAATACCAACTACAAGACTTGATGGACGTAGTAAAATTTTAAGTCTCACTGCAAAATCTCAATTAGATTGAGGCCTGAACTTTGACTTGGTCATTTTAACACATGAAATGCACTTATCCAAACCATTAAATTATGGTTCTGGTTTTGTGTTTGTGTTCCTGATCATTTCCCTCCTGGAAAAGTTTTATTTTAATGAGTTCAACTGCATGTGCCAACTTTTGACTCTGTTGTCAAAATTGTTTCATAAAATGGAAAATTACTTTTCCAGTTTTATACTTTCTCAGTGAGCGTACTACGTTATAAAGAAGAAATACTTTTGTAGGGATGTAAATAATAATAAACTCCTGAGTTTGTGATGGTGATATGAATGGACAATAACAGTGAGAAACGTTTCTGTCTTGCTAAAAAGCCATCATCCATCCTTTCAACTCTTTTCAATTGTGCACATTTTCCTCTCAGAAATCAGGCATTGCATCTTTTATTATGAAATGCAGACAAACCTGTCATCTCAGTTTATTTCACAGAAGGTTCTGCTACCAATATTGATTCTGTTTTTGCACAGATACACAAAACTCTGCACATTCACAAGTCCCCGTCAAACATGCAGACACACACACACACACTTGTTGAAAGACAGAGTCAGTTTTTGCCTTATGGTAGTCACATTGACCGGTCTGTGAGCTAAATGAAGCATGCTAAGGCTTGACTGCCCGCCAGGCGAGCCATGTTTTCAGACCTCTGACATTGACAGCTGACCCCAACGAGGCATCAACAGACACTCTGGGTTGTTTACTCTGGCACCTCTGTGAACTTCTAATGTACACATCAGAATGACACACACCATTAGATTTTTGCTGTTCTGGCTAAAAAAAAAAAAAAAAAAAGAAAAAAGTTAAAATAATCTCTGGCCAATAATTGTACAGAAAACTGTAGGTCAGTCATCATTTTTTCTGTTCTGAGTTGGAGCACTATTTTAATATATATCATCAGTGTGGTCAATGATAAAGGTCAGGACTTCCTCAACACATTTCTGATTTAAACACTAACTTCATATTTCCTGAAGAAAGAAGACTAATAGATTTTTTCCAGTGGATGATGTCAACCATTGTTAATTCTCTTTGCTGCTTAGCTGCACTGTTTTATAAAATGTTACCATGGGAATCAGTTTTAATATAATTACTCTCTCAAGTTTTCTCAAGGTTCACATTTAGTTAGCAACCCATAGTCTTCCTGTTCCTCGGTTCAGGTAGTGGCTTTGCCTTGGGACGTTACCTCTGCACTTTTTCTACGGCAAGCCAAGAAAAAAGTTGTCAAAGTAAAAGAAATAGTAGTACAGAAAAGACACAAATGCATTGTTTTCAAAATGTTTATCCTGCTGAAAGGTGAACCTCTGTCCCAGTTTCTGGTTGGTGTCGTGTAAACCAGAGCACATTTTTCCACATGTTTGCTGTTTTCTGCATAGCGTGTGGAAAATGTTAGATCCTACTTCTTATGATTTTCACGCAACAATTTTCCTTTGCAGAATGACTAAATTTATGATGTGTGGAACTAATAGTTGTATCCTAAACTGTAAATCTCAGCATATTCTCAAAAGTTACAATGGGCAAGTTACTAATTTAAACTCTTCTACAACTTTATCCTGACATGTCTGCTGTTTTCCTCAGTGTTTCTGATGCTGTATGTTCATTAATGCTCTATAAAAAACATCTTAGACTCTTGCAGAATATCATAATTTGCAGTATATTGTAATTTATAATTTGCTAAACTTCTAAAGGCAACTGTTTGTACTGGATTTTATAAAAGAGGCTGAGAACAAAGGCACACTAAACTTTTTAGTCTTTTATTCAAAACTCCAAAACTATTAATCCCCTTTCTTTTACCTCAAAATTTATGAACTAATTTGTCTTGGTCTGTCACAATAAATCACTGTGAAATACACTGAAATGTAAGGTTATAATATGAAATGTGGAAAAGTTCAATGGACTTGAACACTTGTGAAAAACAGCAAACTGGCATATTATTGGTATATAGAAGTTTTTACTTGGCTAAGCTATGCCTTCTTTCCTGTTTACAGCATATGCAGTGATTGCGAATGGACAAGTGGAGTGTCCCAAAGGTTTTAAACGAATGAACATCACACACTGTCAAGGTAAGTCAAAACATACATTGAAAAAGTTGCTTTTGTGAGTGTAGATAGCCATAGTTCTAATTGCTATGCCATAGAAAGAATAGCAGCTTCTTAAAGAGACAGAGGCCCAATTTCAAGGTACCAATTACAAACTCAAATTTCTTTTAAGTCATGTTTGATATAAACAACATTTTTTATAACATCTGAAGAACATTCTTGATTATGTTATAAAAGGACACTATGTGCCTGGAAAAGACATACCACCCCTTTAGTAGAGTTTTTGCTGCATTTGGTTGATCTGCCGTTTATAAATGTTCCAAGAGAATAAAACCAGCGTGAAAGCCAGCAAAGCAATCCATCTGTATGTGGCAACAAACTTCAAAGATACCACATGCAGGATTCTCTCTCAGCATCATGGGGATGGCAAATTATCAACTGGCTTTATGGTCCGAGAGGCAGTAACCATCCACAGCTCTGTGGATAGTCCCTTGCTAAAATATTCAGAGCATTTCTGTTTGTTCATGGTCTTAGTAATTAAGCGATGTCCAAAAATCAAAGGAAGAACTACACAGCTTGATTTAATGGCCAACTCTGACAACTGATGTTGATGCATAGAATAAGAAAAACAGTCTGCTTAGAGCTGTGCCACTGACTTGATTAACAGTGTCATAATCCAAGGGGCAGTGCTTACTGAAGCCTATGGAGTATAATAACATCATGCTTCAATGGGCAGATTTGGACACCTCCATGAAAGATCTCACTATCTGGTTCAGCAAGTTCAACATGCTTCCTCATCTGCCCAGATTTAGGGATGTTTTCTTTGATATCCTGATAACAGACAACACTTCACATAGTAAGACCTTGCTTTCACTAGTGCAGATTTATTTTCCAGTAGTACGTTGTCCAGCCAACATTTGGTGAAATGTGTTTTTCTATTATTAATGCTTTTCTTTTATGATTGTTTCAAGCTGTTTCTTTCTCCCAGTCACTTCTGTTCCAAACAACCCATAGCTGACAGTTAGCCATAATATTTACTGAAATGCTTTAAAATCTCTATGCTGCATAGCTGTTGTGTTCTAGTTTCTCGTGTCACCCGACCAGCCAAAAGGACAAAAAAATGCTTCATGTGAGAAGTTTTCATTGCTCTCAGAATGGCGTTGAGCATGCCCAAATGTGGCTTCTATTTTCAGTTGCTTCTTGTGTGTTTTATTGGAACAGGGGAATGCTTGTCTCATATTAAATAATAGGCCTCATCTACTGTTGCTACAGGGGCTTTCAAAAGTATTCTTTCCTCTTAAAATGTTTCACTTCATTTCATGTTGGAACCACAAACTTAAGTGTTTTTTAGAACCACATTTTGCTGAAATCAGAGCTGCATATCTTTTGAGTTATGTCATCATCAGCTTTGCAAATCTAGAGATTTTTACCAAATATATTTGCAAAATGACTCAGCAAAACTTCTGGTTTGTAATGTGACAAAAATCTGGAAGAACTCATGGGTATGCATACTTTTTTAAACAATCTGTATGTGTGCAAATGCCCCAGTCACTGACATACTGCCTAGAGTCTGATGAGACAACCTTCGAGGCCTCGGAGAGCATTCTGACTTCAGAGATGATTCTTTGTCTTCAGATACTGTTATGGGGAAACTTGCCCTGCTGAAGTGGCCATTTGTTGCTGTGCTTGTTGGATGAAAGGCCCACAGAAATGCAAGCACAGGCTTTGTTGTGGGTAGAAAACTTGCACTGGTAGAGGGTCGTATTACTCATATGCCACATCAAAGAACACTTCATAGGAGTCTTACATAATTCTTTTGACATTTTGGATAATCTAAATAAAAGCTAGCAACAAATTTAAAACACTCACATTTGACCTTCATCATCGTAACTACTGCCTGATGTATCAATATTAATTTGCCTGTTATGTTTCCCAACGATGGCTGTTTGTTAACCACTGTTGACAGTTGTTAAATAGATGTCATTTTTAGATCCTGTTGTTTGTCTGGTTTGAAGCTTTCCCTCTTTTCATCTTTTATTCCTTCACTGATTAATTTCTGCCTTCCATCATCATAGCCATGGACTCCTTCTGTTTTCCTCTTATCCATTTTCCTTCTTCCCGTACTTTATTTACTTCTATATATATACATTTTTATATTTAACTTGCCCAATATTGGACAAGTTCAATATTTAAAACTTGTCCATAGAAATATATTGCATAATTTAATATGAACCATTTTATGTATATCTTAAAATAGGCGTGAACAGTTGAGACATCTGAAAATTGCATTCTGGAGTTTTATTTATTTATTTTTTTTTATAAAATATGTACAAGAACCCTGATTACACCTGATACTAGAAACAAAGAAGACTGATGTCACAAACTTTTTTGCTGCAGTTCATAAATAATCTTACAACTGACCGCATTTTCCAAATGTCAAGAGGAGGCGAGATGAAACAAGGTCACAGAAACTGTTTGACACTTGGTGAACATGCCTCTTCACTCGCAATTAGACTGTAAAAACAATCATGTTAAAAGCTACTTACACCAAGCATGAGCTACCAAGCGTGAACTCAAAACACATCTTGAAATTAGTTCTGGCCATGACAGGTTGTCATGAAAGTCACTTTCAATCCCAGTCTTCCTAGCAGCGGACTGTAACAATAACGCTAATCTGAGACCCGGCTGAACGGCGCATTAAAGACCTCATGTGATGATGGCTGACCTGAACTCTGACCGGATGCTGCTTAAACTTAAAGTCACTACAGCACCTGCACTCACAACGCTGACCAAAGGTATTTGTAGATGAAGGGAGGCCATCTCCCTTTTTTAATTGTCTTTACATCATGAGCTCCATCTGGACTTGTCCAAATAGATAGCTTATGCTGTCACAGACAGTGGTATATTTATGCTCATAAAATAGAAGCTGGAGGCTCAGGAAGAATAAGGTCACCCTTTGATTGAAAGCTTGGACCTTCGTGGAAATAAAAGAAAAAAAACAGCATAAAAGGAAAAGATAAAAAAGAAGAAACCACAAGAAACAAAACAAACTTTGCAGCATTCCTTGGATTTGCTCATTCCTCAGAATTTATCAGCCTCAAATCCCTTATAAGCTCACATTTTCCAGCAGGAAGCAAAACAACCAAACAAGAGCAGATTAATTAGAATTGGAGAAAATCTGTGGTGGCAGGCTGTCGGGTTGCAGTCATCAGAGCCATGGGAAAAGACCTAATGATATAGTCTTTGTTTAATACAGCAAAACAACAAACTTTGCCTGGTCCCAGTGGGACTGCATGACTAAGCACCTCAAATATGCCCCCCATACTCCTGCCTGGCATATCGACTGGACTGCATGCCTGTGTTTCATTTAGTGAATCAAGAGCAGACAAACACCTCCTTCAACTTTCACTTGTAAATATAATGTTGAGAAGCAGTTAAAATACAAGACATTATATAGGAGAGATCTTAAAAAGCTCAACAGATATTAGAAAAAGGTTAGCGCCAATGCAATTTTTTTGTGATTAAATTTCTTCTATCTTTATCAAACTGCATTCAAAAGAGAATATTGAACATTATTGTACCTCTGATGGGATCAGAAAACACTGAGGTAAACTTAGAGTTCTTAGAAATACCTCTATTTTTTGCATGGTTTCACTCTTGATTTGACAGTTTTGCATTAAAACTTATCCTTCAGTTTTGTTCTACAGAGCCTCAGTACATCATCGAAGCTGTTTGTGATTTAGAGATAATTTAGCAAGTAAATGTCTATATGTAATTTGTGAGTGGATTTATAGCAGAATCCAATGGAAGATTGTATTATCCCTAGACATAATTTTGTCATAATATCTAATATATCTTGCCTGTATCAATTACAGGTAAAATCTCAGTAAATCCTAATATTGGCAAATGGGTATTTTGCCTTAGAAATCTAATCATACTGTCAAACTCATATGCTACCGTACTTAGATTCATTACACACATTGTGCTGTATCTATTTTTGTGTACATTTTGATTATGATTCACAGTGAAAACCCCAAATTCTCTGTGGGATGCCAACATAGTATGCATCATTTAACTCACTCCTTCAGGAGTTAAACGATGCAATTCAGCAGCTCCAGGTGCTGAATTGCTACACCTGGAGTTGTAAAGTCAAGTTTCAGCTCAGGTTGCTTTAATAATGGTCTTCAGTTCAACTTAGTATTGGCTCTGATGTTTGTCGTCTTCTTTTACATGACTTCATTCATAGCTTTTGGGTTTTTCATAAAGGCCCGTTTGCTGGCCAATTAAGCATAGCAATACCACAGCCATTAAACAGGTATATTGCTACAGGTGCAGGTGCAGGAAAGGTCACTTTACACCACATTAAAGGGGGCTACAGTCCAGCCCCCTTCTTTTTCTCAAATTCAGCTAAGACACTTGTCAAATTTTCTAGTCAGAGAAGAAGCATTTGGGAAAGTTCAATTCAGAATTGATCAGAATTCACTTGTAGTTTTAAATTCTGGATGTATGACAGTGCCGCTCTAGTAGCATATCATGTCAGTAGGTGAGGTGACACACAGTGTAGCATTTACTTGTATTTTTGGAAACCTATCTAAACAAAATTGTGTTGATTGAATCCTGAAAACCATTCATATCCTTGTGTGGCCTGGGGAACATCAGAATCAAATTCAATAAATAGCTTGAACTCTCACATCATCAAATCTTCATCATGTTTTTCCTCATCGTCTGATTCCTATTGCTCCAAGGATTCATTCTCAACCAGAGCTGCCTAGGTCTGATTCTTGCAGCCATTTATAGTGTTATCAACCTATAAAAGGTTGATAACACCTATAAACCTATAAAAATATCAACCTATAAAAGTTTGATAAAAAGAAATAGACCATAGGTTCTTAATTTAGGGCTCTGTGTTTGAATGACTCCTCAGATATTCTTTACATGCTGAGAAGAAGCTTTTTTTTTGCTTGTCTCCACCTCATCATCACCCCTTTTTTGATTATAAACAACTGTATAACCGTAATGCTTCCAACTTTCATCGGCTCTCAACAGACTCAAGATCTGTTGTCAATGTTTTAATGCCTTCAAATGAAGTCTTTCCTTTGACTTTCATCATCTCTGCTGATCTGCAGGCACGAAAACTTTGTGTACTCCCAGTGAAGTACAGAGCTTTAAATCTGATGTATAAAGTTTATTTAGGAAGTTCAGTTTGAGTTCAGAAATTACTTAATGGTTTTTCCAGAATTAGAACGTGCTCTTTGCTGGATGACTAACAAACTGTGTTTTTCTTTTTGCAGACATCAATGAGTGCCTGTTGCCAGGGATATGTAAGAACGCTGAATGTCTCAACACCAAAGGAAGCTACAGGTGCACTTGTAAGCCAGGTTATATGTTAGATGCTGCCAGAAGCCACTGTGTCTGTAAGCATTGTTTTTTTTTCTTCAATCATTTTCCTGAGTCTAAACACAAAAAATGTTCCCTGATATGAGTTAGTAGAACATAATAGATCTTCTGACGTCTCCTCAGCTGACAAGGCAGTGTCTGACCACAGGGCCTCATGCTACCGGTCAGTGTCATCAGGAACATGCTCTCTGCCTCTTGTCAATCACATCACCAAGCAGATATGCTGCTGCAGCCGTGTGGGCAAAGCCTGGGGAAATGGATGTGATCGATGTCCTTTGCCAGGTTCAGGTGAATATGTTTTATAAGATTTTGCTGCATAACTTTCCGCTGCCTGAAAACATACTTCTCCATTTTTGGTTTTACTGTTCTGGCCATGAAACCCTATGCAAGGTTGAATGTTTTTTGCAGATATAAAACTTCACATGTAATATTATTCAATGATTGGTAGAGCACAAGCTACGAATATTTACCTCTCAGTCACCATTCTTCTGTCTGCTAGGCATGCTAACTATTGCAAAATTACTAAATGTGTTTAAAGTGGAAAAGGACCAGAAACATAACAGTTTTCATATTTTGGAGGCTACATAATGGTGGGAGTCTGCTACATGTTATCGCTCCAGCCCTCAGAGAGAAACCCTGCTAATGTACCAAAAGCAAAGCTACGCAGCAGAAATCCACTGATTTGCCAAGTGAAACATGGCGAGTAGTTGTCATCTGCCTCTCCTTCCAGATCTAATCTTCAAAGTCTCAGAGAGAAACTGAAGTGGTTTTATGAAGTGTCTGCTCTGCCAAGTGATTCCTGCAGATTGTCGTAGATGCATTTTTACACCCAGACCTCCATGCTGCTCATAGACGGATTATTTTAGGCAATGTTTTTGTGACTGGACAAGCTGTTAAAGTCATGTTCTGAGCAGAGCACTCGACTTAGTAACAGGAGATCTTTCATATTTACTCTACACTTTAAAGCTGATCTTCATCATATATTCCCTAATTTCCCTCCACTTTAACTTCATCAGTCAGTAGCCCATCATGTCCACATTTCCTTCATCTACGTCGACCGCATATCTGTCATTACTCATATCACTATTCCAGACTCTTCTGGCACAGAGTTGCTGGTTTCAGGTCAGGTAGGGGACACAGAGTGTCTCACTTGTAATGGATTCACCATTGCTGGGTTTTGTTGGACTCAGACACAAAGAGGTGCAATTTCCCTCCTTTTATCTTGCTGGCCAATCCCCATTAGCCACTCACTCTTGTGCCTCTAAACCAGCTCAGTTCAAGGGTCAGTCAGTGTTATATGATCTGCTACCTGCTTCACAATCATGGCTGTGTGCATCAGAGTGCAGATTTCACCCCCAACTTTCTAATATAATTTAAAAGCTTTTAGAACTAACAACCAACTGGGTCTGGGTTGGATTTTCACCTTACAATAGGACAGCATCACCTATCAAATCACGAGATCCAGATCAAAAGCATATTAATGTGTTAAATAACCTAATCAAAATCCGGACCTGAATCTGATGGAGAATATGTAACAAGACTACGGACGCCCTGTAAAAATTGTACCTTTGGTGAGAATTTTAAATACACACACATCATGGGATTGAATATTATATTCATCTTGGAATTTATTAAGACTACTTTGAAAATCTGTCTCCTTGTACAAAAATATGAAGAAGATTTGCGCAGCACTGGAGTAAATAGTCTCTCTATGTGATTTTTATCACATGGAGAGGCTATAAAGTATATACTTAAATGTGTAAAAAAGTATTACTCTCTGTTTGGTGAATGGCTCTTTAATGTGACTTTCAGCCATTCTCTGAGTTTTATTAGTACTAGCTGTTATTGCGGAGAAGATAGTTTTTATCACTTTTTGTTTGCGCTTGTCCTTCCTGTCCTGCAGACCACTTCAAGGAGATCTGCCCAGCTGGTCATGGATATACATACTCACGCTCAGATGTGCAGATTTCTCTCAGGCAGCTGGAAGATGATGAGCTGCAGAGTACAGGAGTGACTCTGGAGGAGCAAGAGCCTGAGTTCCCATCCTCCCAGCCTTCACGACACAACTACCCTCAAACACCTCTAATACCCCAATACCCTGAGACACCACGAGTCCCTCAGTACACTTTGACTTCACAATATCCCTCAGAGTCAGGACAAGAAATGCCTAAACTGCAAGATGGTAATTATTTGCTTTTTTTATGATTGGCCAAAGATCAACACAGTGTTTTGATTTTCCCACATTATTTTTTTTATGCAACCCAGAACATTTTTCAAAGTTGTTTTTATTCTTCCCCATCCATTAAGATGAAACCCTTATGGGCTTCACAACATCTCACAAATATTATGGACCAAACATCTATTTCCTCTGAATTTTCAGTGAATTTATATTCTTGGCTGAATACTAAAGAACTAGTTTCATTGGCAGCTTCAATTTTTTTTTAAATTTATTTCAGCACACAGTTCTATAAATATTAAGATATTTGTCTTCTTTATCAAGGATCTTCCCATCCTGAACTGTGTTTGCATTTCTTTAACTGAAGTATTGCTCAAATCAAACCTTGTTTTATGGCTTGGAACAGAAAATATGCAGTCACTGATACCCCTTGAACCTTTTCACTTCGTAACCATAAACTCCATTGTATTTTATTGGAGATTTATGAGCCAAATCCAACAAAAGTAGTGTGTAAATGTGAAGAGGAAGGAAAATTATACATATTTTCAGGATGTTTCAAATACTTAACTATTATACAATGCTGCTGTTTTGGTCTGTCACATATAAAACAAACAAAACCAATACAGTTTATAGTTTGTAACAAGACAAAATGAAAATATTTGCATTTATGCCTCCTTTCGCTAGATTATTTGTATGTTGTTAACTTGTTTTGAACAATAATTAAAGTTTCAGGAATGTTCCTGTTTGAGTCTGATCAATCTGTTTGTCTTTCTTTGTCTCTTTTTTAATTATTTGCAGATCTGGAAATTCTGATGCCGGTAATTTATTTTTCCTCTTTCAACCCTCTGGCACATATCTTTGAAATGCTTTTCTGAGGACAATAAGTGTATGCTGTGCAAGCTTGTTATGATTATGTAACATATTCGGACCAGATTGTGGTAGCTGCAGACACACCAACTTAGCAGACAGGTATGAATTTGAACACACTTGTCTTCAACTTTTAATATTTGTTTGTTTTCTAGCCGCCTGTTGTGACGGACTCGCCACCAAGTTATCCAGGTATTTTTTTTTTCTCCGTTTTCGTTTAATAATGCCAACATAATGGTGAAACCAAACCAAGCTGTTGTTTCAGGCCTCTCTTGGTTTGATTTAGTATTTGAGTCAGGTACAGACATGTTATTTGCTTGGTATAAATTTCCCCTGCTCAGGGGTTGCAGTCTCAGTCTTGTCTCCACGCCAGTGAAAACATTGACATTAGTCTGGAGTTTGCCTAAATAGAATGCGTCACCTTGATTCATTTTAGTTTATTGTTTTTATATGTTAAAAATAATATGTAATTTTTTTTACCGTCAAGAAATGAGTAACAACCTGATATTTTAAGAGACAGAAAGTAACACTTTATAATAAAGGTACATATCATATTTTGTGGTAAACTTTAAGACATGACTCACACTGATGTATTGCATGAATTAATGCTAAGATTGTATCATAAAGTCCTATCACTCACATACCTAATAAGCATTGTTCTGGGGATTAATTAGATTGCCTCTCGCGATAAGGTGTTCATTGCTTTGACACCAAATTTATTTATTTTTTTCTTAAATATTCCTACTAAATACTTTTCTTGGCTTAGTTCTTCATATTAACATCACGCTTTTTCTGATTTATGTTAATATTTTGATTGTGTCAGGCCTCCCTGATGTGCTGGAGACTTTAGTATCTGCATTTCTTTATAGAAAAGCAGATACTACTGTTCTGCTTTCCAATAAAAATAAATTTATTAGGACAACCTCTAACAATATAAATCTGACTTGGCACATAGATCTTTTAGTAATGAACTCAGATTTTGCTGCTGTTGATGACATTTTAATGCAAAAAAAAATTTAATATGAAGCTAAGACTTTCTTAGTCTTGCTTCATCTTTATACTTTTTTATATGGCTTATTGTTAAGGCTGTCAAAATATTATTTGTACTTTCTATATTGACATAACTTGATGCTAATTTAACTTCACTTATACTTACATATTTACTCTCCTTTTGATGTGGCTTGTTGATAACCAGTCAGTACTAACACTAGCATGTGCACTCTGGAGATGTTGATAATTCATATATGTTAATACTAACATGTCTGCTTTTCTGGATAATTAGACTATGTCAGGGTTCTGTTTGCTAAAAATGTATTTGTGCTGAAACAACCATATCAACTCTGGCGCTTTGTCATGAAATCACAACTTACTGTTTTTCATGGATAGTAAGTGAATTACTAGACTTTTACTTTCTTGTTTGGCTATTTACTGTCTTGTTAGTAATAACACAACGCTAACATTAATGTGAGTCCAGTCTATTGTCATCTAACTTGTAATCTTAACATAAGCTTATCAATGCTCTGGTATAGTATTACTTAACAGCAACTTATCTATTCTTCGTTTGATATGACTTGATAATTAAGCTATCCTAACACCAGAATGTCTACTTTCAGACAGGAAGCTGCAGTAGACAAACAGTCATTTCTGTAAAAATTTGAATTTTGTAAAATGTGAAAATATTGGCTCTAATTTCTAGTGTGATTTTATAACATGGCTTCATAATTATTATTATTTTTTTTGGGAATCATTATTTTGTTGATAAAATATGGATGATGTAAGGTCACAGAAATCTTGTAATGGTGGATGCAATAAAAGACAAAGTGTGAGCCTAATTTTATATCTTATCAGCTATTTCTCCTTCAGTAAAGCTATTCCTTTATTCATTTATGTTGTGATGCAAGAATTATCTTGTAGGTATTTTCTACGTTTATTATACAATGGTGTTGTACAACCTTATGACTTTCCTCATTATTTTTTGTAGAGAGCTCTCCAGACTCCCCTGATTTCAACATAAGGCCAGATTTAAAGGAAACAAGCCCTGGAGTTTTCGTCATTGGTAAGACATGAAGTAAAAAAAATAAAAAAAAAATACAGAAAGCAGTAAAAAAAAAAAAAAGCTCTGTCTTGCAACAGTACATACATCTTAAATCTAAATATGCTGATGGGAGGAGGGCTGCAGTGCTACCATTTTAAAAAAGAGACCAATTCTTCATTTTTTATGTTTTATGTCAACAGCTGGCAGACAGCGGGATATCTTATAAGACATTTTTGTAAGCTTACCCAAAGTAAAGCCAGAGAGAGCTTTATTTGACCCGTATTTCAGAGCCAAGTTGGCTTTGAGTTGATGTGCTTCACAGAGGGTAGGGGAGCAAGAAACCAAGAGAGATTGTGCCTCTTGGAAGGGTCTGTCATCACGAGCAGAAAGAGGCCAAATTTATAAAAAGTGGAGGAAGAGACAAGAAAGCGGGAAGAAGTTTGTTTTGCGGAAGAAAAGTTGTGATTGACAGACCGATTACAGGAGTAAGAAGAATTACAGATGTCATGCAGAGATAGTGCTTTTCTCCTCTGCCAGGAATCAAGTCATGTCTTGGTTTTATCTTGCTCGTTTTGGATGAAAAAAGTCAAGAATGAAGCAAATGTCAGTCTCGCTCGTTCATATTTCTTTTCTCTTAACTCTTTGTAAAAGCTTCCAACAGTGTTCACACCACCTGTTAGAATACTATACCGTTGTAAAACCACTCTCCTCATCCAAGACTCCACCTATAAACTACCAAAATAGTTACCTGCAGAGCACGGCATGTGTTTCTGGAATGCACTTTTTAATTTTTTACAGCCCCATTAATGTTGGGTCAGAAATGTTCTTGTTTGTTTTTTGGATAACTACCATGTACATATTTTTTTTTTTTCATAGGCATTAACAAGTGTGCTACTTCACCAAATATATGTGGGCATGGAAAATGTGTTCCTGTGCAGAATGGATACACTTGCGACTGTGATCTAGGGTTCAAGCTCAATGCATTGCAGAACAGTTGCATTGGTGAGTAACAAAGAAAGAGGTATGACTGCATCACTATAGATCTGAATATTTGGATATTTTACTCAGTTATTACATGTTCATAACACAGAGTGATATCAAGTCATACTCAATAAATTAGTTCTGATCTTTAAGCAGGTATCATAAAAACCACACTCCCCCAACATGCTGTTTTTTTTTCAATTCTTTCAAAGCAGTGGTTTTTTGTATTGCTTGCTCACATTTGTTCTAGCGGTTCTTTTCCTTCCACCCAACTTTTTTGGTACAGCACTCTGGGAAAAACCAGCCTGTTAAGGAATAATCTTTGTTGGTGCGCCAATGACTTTTGACGGGACAATTGTGAAATCAGCATGATTATGTTTCCAATAATAAGAAAGCCTTCAAGAAAGCTTTTATTACTCCTCTCCTGTAATAATCTAATTTTCTGAGGAACTGGATTTTAAGTTTCATTTCCCAAAATCATAAAAATTTGCAGAAATAAAAACTTAAAATACATTTTTTTTTGTCATGAATCTAAATGATACATATAACTTTTTAAATGGAATTACTGAAATAAAGTAACATTTCCATTCAACTGTAAATGGCACTGGGTAGGATTTAAAATATTTGATGTTTACCTGCATAAAGCCTTGTTGGCTTTGTCTGCTGTCATTATAACGTGAGGAAATTCTACAAACACTCATAATTTTTAGAAGCCTTGAGAATGCAAGCAAGCCAAAAATGAAAGGAATCTGTTTGTTTATGTTGATCCATATCATGATGCCTGTCAGCAGCCAAATGAGATATTGATCATTTATCTGACAAAGGGCTTGTCTGCAGCCCTGGCTTCTTTGTTGAAGCGCTTCAGTTACAGGACTTCAATGTGTTCACTGCTTCCCGCTGCAATCTAATGAACCCTTCACTTTTTCTCTTTGTAGATGTGAACGAGTGTGAAATGGACCCATGTGAGGGTAAGGGTCACTGCATAAACAGCTATGGCTCCTACACATGTCAGTGCCACAGTGGCTACAGCCAAGTGATCACCCAGAACAGGAAATTCTGTCAAGGTGAGACACAGTCCAGTCTACAGTATTACATATAAGGCTTCCAGTCATCATACCCAAGTCAGCTGTTAACTCCCACTTCAATGTTTCTGTCAGCATTGTTCATTTTACAAACATCCTTTCGTAATGAATGCCTTGGAGCATGACAGCCACTTTATTTTCTGCTCCCCATGATTTGGCAGACATCAACGAGTGCAGCATGCCCAACAAGTGCCAGAACGGCCAGTGCATCAACACTGAGGGATCTTTCACCTGCGAATGCAATGATGGCTACTCCAAATCATGGCGAGGCCTGTGTGAAGGTGATTTTCATGGATCAGCACAAACTCACACATGCAAAGTCGAGTTCATTCGTCAACACAAGCAAATCCTGTTTGTGCAACAAAACACATCTTCCTCCATTTTCCTCTGCTCAAAGCCAGGAGAACCATTCAGCTCCCTCCGTTTCTGGGGGATTATGGGTGGACTTATTTGCGTTTCTGACCTTACTACCGCTTTCTTCCATTTATAAGCACATTATTTGAGGAAACTTGTTGTAGTAACAGCTAAATCGAACAATGTTTTCGTTCTTTCTCTGAGCAGACGTAGATGAGTGCAGAGATCACAGCTCCTGTCCCAACGGCATCTGCATCAACACACTTGGCTCCTTCCAGTGCCAGACCTGTGACCGGGGCTTCAGCCCCATCGGTGGGAGATGTGTAGGTAAGTCAACCTAACACCCCATCAAACCATCAGACCACCACCAGCCCCCTCCCTCAGGTTCCTCAGGGCATTTCAAATTGCTTTGTGGAAATAAACTGGGTTTCCCCCTAAGTGCAGTAATTCCTTTCCGTGTTAGTTTATGATGATGTAACTCTTGCTTTTTGTTGGCATTGATAAAGTGAAAAACAACTACAAAACTTCTTGACTCCTTGCAATGCAGTGCAGTTGACAAAGTAGCGCGAGCTACTTTTTGAATTTTCAGCTTTGCGGCTTATTGCTCAGAGGGATGCTCTCGCTACAGATGTGCATGAAAATTTTAAATTAAATTAAATCTTATACTTCAGCTGAGTTTATATTGGATATTATCAGTCCTGTGTGGCACATTCCTGAGCTCATGTAACAGCCTAAAACCACATTGAATGATGGTTATATTGCACAGACTGATCGCAGTCCCCCAATTTCCTAGCTCGTTTAGTGATTCCATGTATCCTCCTAGCCTCTGCATATTCCTGTTATTGTTTAAACTCATTCAGCATATTATTGCTGATCCTTTTCATATCACCAGTTCCATAAAAAGATTGTTTATAGTACTTCAATTTGGGAGAGTCCAAATATTTTCTCTTGGCCAGAACCTTAAATAAACAGCATATTATTGTTGGAACATACCAGTGTAAATGTGAAGCCCAGTAGAGGCAAGCAGTGCTTTATTACCGCCGTCTGGGTAGGTGAGAGAAGCGAGTAGTCACAGGAGATGTACGAGTGGGCCAGGAGGTCAGTTCCCTACTGCAAAGAGGTCATGGCACGTAAACAAACTTTCCCTCTCACTCACGATGCTGTCTGCGATCCGGTTTAAGGCTCCTACCAGGGATTAGAAACAAACGCCAGACTACACATGGAGCGTGTTTTCTTAAAACTAACATGCTTAGAGCTTCCAAACAAAAACTGGCATTATTACATAACAGCTGAACTGGCATTACATATCCACTCCCCTTCGGATGACCTCCATGCCTCTGATTTGCTTGGAAACTTAAGCTCCCTCTATATTCCAGAAATATGAAAATATAGACCAAATCAATGATGGAAAATGTGGAAGGTAAAAACTATTCCTCATCATGCATTTTTCAGTAAATGATGCTCATATTAAACATCTAATGATTCTGTTATGTCCAAAGAAAAAAACACCTAAGCTGTTTTATTGGGTAAGTTTATTAACATCATTCATTTTGTGTAAGAAATAATACATATCGAGTTCTTTGCTACATTATGTAGTCAATTTGGATGAAAAAAAAGGAAAGCTTTCTGAAAAGTGTGCACTTCTAGACTCTTCGATTTTGCAAAACAGTTCCAACAGATTTCAAGGTGAGCATCTAAAAGATGATTTTTTTTCCCCAACAAATCTCAGACTTAACACAAACTTGTATCATCATAAGACTAAATTATACACAGGTGAACTCTAGTTACTCTATTTAGGTTACTCTATTTTAATTAGGTGTGGAAGAGCAAAATAAGTATCGAAACCACAAATTCCAGATTTATATTTGTAAGAAAAATAAGCTGTTTTGAGTCAACTTGATTATTAAGTCTTGCTTTTCGTTGACCTATCATATAAGACACACTGAAATTTGTAGTTGTGATATAGCAAAAAAAAATATTTTTTTTTATTTGCTGTACATTATAATTGATAGGAAATCTGGATATGACTGTTAAGTGTAGGCCTGTTGCAACAAACAATAAATAAGTTACATGATAAATTAAAATGATCTCAATAATATCCATTTAAATGATTACTTATTGGTTTTCTATTTTCTCTCTCTTTCTGCTAAAACTGGTCTTCACTCTGGTGCATTGGTCTCGACAAGCTCTCTTTTTTTGAAGGGCAATTTTGTTTACAGAGGCTTTGGAATTAATTTTACTTGTTGTTTCTCTCATTTTGTTTCTTCCAGATCCAGTGTTAAGTGTTTATTAGTGTTTTAAATTTATTGATCTTTAGGAATGTGTTCTTTCATTGTTATGTCATTATCATTATATTACTTGAAAATGGTCTCAAAAGAACAACATTCTCGTTTATTGTGACAGACCTAGTTAAGTCTAAATATTTTAACTTTGAACATTGACAGGGACAAGGCAAACAGGGCCTGTAGTGCATCTCAGAGCCTGTGGGAGTCACATAAACCAGCCAACCTCAGCACCCAGTTTCCAGTATTTGCTTCAGTCAATTGACGACAGCACAAAGCAGCCGTTTAGGCCCAATTGGCCGAATCGAGGATAAGCCTAATTGTTGGTGTGATAGAGAAAACAGCTCCCTTCCCTTGTCGGGACTTATCAGGGAGGTCTGAGTGATGCTGAATGCTAATTGCAGGGAAAAGTGGTGGGCCACAGTGACAGACGTCTGGCACTGCCTGTGGTTGGGGCAACAATACCAGCTTTGTGACTCTTACGTTGTCTTCATTGCATTGCAGGGTCTGTATCAGATCTCAAGAACGTCCTTCCTTCCCTTTCTTTGCAGGAAAATTACTTTGTCTTCCTCTTTGTACGTTTCTCCATCTCTCGGCATAGCCTAATCTAATCCAAAAAATGCACCTTTTAACACTTGATAAATATTGCTATTAAATAATATGTTTACAACATTAAGGTGTTACACAGATGGATTTTTCTGAAGTGGTACAATCGTAAAAGGGTCTTATAATGAGGTCGGTGTGTTGATGTAATTTAATGAGTGCAGCTTGCAGTTATTCTGCAGGGTAGTTACGTTTTTATTGTTTCCCTTTTCCTCTTGAACCATCCACAAACGTCTTTTGAAAACAAATGTTTATAAAGTCCTGGACAGGCCTGTTTTAGTTGATGGAAACCCAAATTAAGCATTCCGACCTGGCAGTAAAAACAGCTTTTAAGGGTTTGCAAAAACTAGCTGTAAGTCTTTCAGAACTAGCAAGAAATTCTGGCCCACTCTTCTTTGAGGAACTGCCTATTTATGTAGGAGTATGTTTAAGGTTATACCACATCTTCTTGAACAGGTTTAAGCCCAGGCCTTACCTGGGTAACCTAACATTCTTCACCAGGATTTACTGGCAGGGTGATTCTGAAGCAGGAAAACAGCCCCTGATCATCATGCTACCACCACCATTTTTGGCGCCAGTATGATGTTCTTCTGAATTGCTCTGTTCCAAGTTTGTCTCCTCATATTTGATAATATTTTCCCATAAGCCTTAGAGATCATTAAAAAGGCTTTTCTGGAAGAAAAAAAAATGGCCTTTGTGTTCTTGTTGAACTCAACAGCACTTTAGATGCTTTTCTTGGGTTTGTTGGTCTCCTGGAAAAGTTGATTCACTCTTGGAGTAATTCTGATTGGTTAGCCGTTCCTGGGAATGTTCATCATTGCTCCATGCTTTCTCTATTTGTAGACAATAGTTTTCACTGTGGTTCACTGGAGTTCCAAAGCTTTACAAATGACTTTGTAACCATTTCCATACTAAGAGATGTTAATGACTTTGTTTTTCATTTGTTCTTTTATTTATTTAGCTTGGTGCATGATGTTTTGCATTTTGTGATCTTCTAGGTTTCTTAAGGTTATCAAAAAGATGCTATTTAGATGATTTCTTTATTTTATAGGTTTTATAGGCTGTGTGTAATAAATAAAACTAAATCAAACAATGTGGGTAATCAAAGTCAATTAATTATTTAATAAATGTGAGTATATGTATGAGTTAATCTCATGTGTTTTGCTGAGCAATAACACTGATGGTTCAAAGTGTCTTTTAAAAAATCGAAACAGTTCAAAACAGCTCTGTTTACATGTTTGGTTTATTAGTTTGGGAATTGACAATTGAATCACAATGTGTAGTTCTGATGAAAATAACCCATCCATCCATTTATTAAGTACACATAATTCTCTGTTTTCAGACATCAATGAATGCTTGAACCAAACCATGTGCGGTCGTGGTCGGTGTGTCAACACAGAGGGCTCCTATACATGCAACTGTTTCCAAGGCTTCATGCTCTCATCAAACAATTTCTGCCAAGGTAACTATCTGTCAGGAGGTATTTAAACCTCCAAGTTGGGGCTCTGTGACAATGCTACTACAGAAGCCTTCAGGCACCACTGTAGGCTTATAAAAGTGCTACAAAAGAGTTTGCAGCCGTTTTCTGAAGAACTCCTATTTCCCTCGTCTGTATTTTTCCTCCAGATGTGGACGAATGCATGCTTCCGGGGATCTGTCTCCATGGCCGCTGCGTCAATCTGGACGGCACCCACAAGTGCACCTGTAACCTTGGTTACCAAGTCTCCTCAGACAGCAAGTCGTGTGAAGGTCTGTAAGAAGTCTTTTGGAGCTATTGAGTGTAAATCATCCATGCATGAGCCTCTTCTAGTGAAGCTCTTCTAGCAGCAACGTAATGTCTGCACATTATTACTTTTCTCTAGACGTCAACGAGTGTGCGAGTGGTACAGCGTGCCCAGTGGGGATTTGTATCAACACAGCAGGTTCCTACAGTTGCCAGAACTGCAGGCCTGGGTTTGGACCATCCACTAATGGGCTGAGATGTGAAGGTAAAGAAATAGCCGCCTAATGATTTACACTAATTTGCAGTGTTGGAAGAACACTGCAGTGTTTTGATGATATATTGGCTTACTTGTGAATTCGTTCTTTCCGTTTCCAGACATTGATGAATGTGCACAGGGAGGTTTTTGCTTTGGAGGGGTGTGTGCCAACACAGAGGGATCCTTCACTTGCACTCATTGCAAAGCTGGCTATAGAGTGTCTGAGGACAGGCAGAGGTGTGAAGGTAAGACCAATCTCCAGCTTTTCTCTCAGTGAAAAGCTGGAGGTTGTTTGAGTTTTTCTCAGTCCATCTGTTCACTGTGTAATCTTAAATGTTTTTTACTACTCAATTGGTTTTACTATAGATATTATTCAATCTCACTTTAAGCAAGAATCCATGTCTATATGTCGCTGCTCCTCAGATATTGATGAGTGCCAGTACCTGTCTACCTGTTCCAATGGGATCTGTCTAAACTCAGAAGGGTCTTATACATGCGAGAACTGCCCTGCAGGGTATCAAGTGTCTTTTGATGGGGAACTCTGTCAAGGTTGGTTTATTTAGCAACTCTTGTTAAAAATTACCTCTGTGTAATGTACTCTTGATTACAGAGCTAATTTGGCCAGTGACAAAGTTTATATTCCTTATTGCGTTCCTAATTATATTCTTCTCAACTCTGAAGACAAAAAGTATTCACACCCGTAGAAAAGGTTCTGATTATACCAAAATTAAGTCTATTTTGTTGGTATTTTATGTGATAGATCAATACGAAGTGGTGGATATTTGTGAAGTGGAAGTAAAATGCTACTTGCTTGACAATAAGTTTTTACAAATGAAAATCTGAAACAATGAGTGTTTAATTTTAGGCCTTCTGAATCAATACTTTGTAGAGTCTCAATCCTGCAATAATATATGCATGTCCCCTGGAGTTATGGAGTTTGAGCATCTAGAAACTGAAAGGTTTGTCAATTTACCTTTGCAAACTAACTGAAGCTCAGTCACATTGGCTAAAGAGTGTTCATAGCAATATCAGTGTCCAGGCCCTGCGACATGTCACAACTGGATTTATGTCTAGGCTTTGACTACTCCATTCTAACACAGGAATCCATCCACTACATGACTCTCTCTTTACATTTAATATGCATCAAAAACAACATCAATTAGATTTTTCTCTTCTATGTTTTAGAAATTTTAAATGTGTGAATTGTCTCACAACAGATATCGATGAGTGTGCAATGGCAACTACCTGTCCCCAGGGAAAATGTACAAACACGGAGGGTTCGTTCACGTGTGTCACCTGTCAACCTGGTTTCACAGTTTCTGACGATGGACAAAAATATGACGGTAGAGCTGGAGTTGTTATTGTTTTCTTCTGATGGTTTATTTCAAACATTCCTCTGGGTTTCAGCAAAGGACAAGTTTCTCAAAATCTGCTCCTATTTTGGGACCTGATTTAGGTTATGTTTATGAAGCATCAGGTGTCAAAGGTGCCAAAATACCATAATTTTAAACCAGTAACTCCCAAACATTACATCATTGCTGGAAACTGGACTTTTTCATCATTTGGTATTACTCCTCTGATCTAGCTCAGTGGTCTAAACCTCAAATAGAACAAGATGATGTAAGGCAAATGTCTTGCAGATAGTGCCGCTCAAAAAACACACCTTATAATTGATTGCAACTGGCAGTCTTTATTTAATTGAAGCCAAAGATGGTCATCTTGTCCCATGATATGTATTTGTTTCCAGATGTGGATGAGTGCTCAGAGGGTAACTTGTGTCCTGGCCAACTGTGCGTTAACACCCCAGGATTTTACACCTGCAGGAGCTGCGGAGCTGGTTTCCAACTGTCTGAAGACAGTCACACCTGTGACTCAATCAACACAATCAGTTTTCAGTCATGGAAAATGATTAGAGATATTTACAGCACTCTGTGATTTGTCTTGACATAATTTGTAAGATCAATACAGTGCAATGGCAGCTCTGACAAATCCTGAGGTTAGATGTGTCATGACTTCATTGGGAGGAAAAGAGAATGATTATATAAATGAGTTTCAAACATGCTCCGAGTTACTCATATATACCAGAGTGTGGATGTAGCCTGGGAGGAAGATCCTCCACTGATATGTGTCTTTACAAGGGAAATGATTTCACTAAACAAAGTCCGAGTGAGTCTTACATGGGATTTTAATGGATGTGTCTGGTGCCATGGAAAATATTAAAAGTTTAATTGAACATGAATTCCACCACCTCCCACTTTTGTTGCAATGCTCTGAGGTACCATGCCTTAAACAAGCAGAACTATCTCAGTGACAAAAAGGGCACATTCTATCATTTGTTGCATGTTTTTCTTGTCAGTCCTTTTGTTTCCATGAGTAAAATCGAGAGATGTTTAATTTGGAATGCCTGATCGCAGTTCATAAGTGCACACGGGAAAGTGCAAGACAAAAGGAGGAATAGAAATGTCTCCAACTCAAAATTTAGTTTACACCATGTTGATTTATTTGATCATTTATCCAGTGAGGCGGACAAAGTTTGGAGAAATTCCTGAATGCTGTAGCTTAGATACCTAAAAAACCAACATGCTAAAGAAAGATTAAAAAGCTGTCTGACAAGCTCACTCTGCCTGTAAATAAACACAGCTTGGAATACCCATGTAAGACAAAAATTCATTTGAAACATTATGTTTCTGGCTGCAATCACATAGATGTTGTCATTTTTGCTCCAGTTCTGACCAGCATTATTGCTTAAAATCTGAAGGAAACAACAATGTCTCCCAAAAGGTTGTGGAAGTCTCATTTTTAATCAACACATGCATTACTTGTTGAATTGCAATACAGTAATGTGGCTGTTTATAGTTTGTTCAATACATTATGTTTAATCCTAAGCCACTTCAAGTTCACGGCACACATGCAATAGATGGAGGGTCGGTTCCATCCATTCCTTGTCTTTCACTTACCTGATATCAAGTCGGATCACTCCAACCATCTGTCACCCAAGCAAGGCTCTCCTGCTTCCTATGGGACCTTGAAAATCTGCTAAAGAAAGCGCCAAGAGAGCATCCTTCTTTTGATACAGAGCTGCAGTGACTTTACTCCAAGCTTCTCTTATGTTTAAAACTGAGTCCAGCCAACTCAGAAAATTCATTTCACTGACTTATGTCCGAAATGTCTTAATCTTGGTTTTATTCCTTAAAGCAAACTGATATTTTTCTTTGTTGCCAATAAGTGGCTAAAGATGTGTTGAAAATATTACCTTGAAAAAGGTGTTGTTTTGTTTTTTTTTTTTTTACCAAAAACAACCATGTCCTATTTACCACCATTTCCCATCAGACATCAAGGATAGGAATGTTACGTCTTTGTCCATGGACAGCGCTCACTTCCTGGATTTAAGAAAAGATTGACCGCATTTTTTATTTATTTTTTTGCTTTTAAAAGCCGGCATATGATTTGTAATTGAGATTTTGATTTATCTATGTTTTATTCATTATTTTTTGGTTTTAATATCTAAACAATCTCATAATATTTGCCCTCTAACAATGGTCCATTCTACTTTGAAGAAATACAGTCTGTTTCTCTACAGGGACTCTGCAGTGGTCACTTATCAGCAAGCTGGTGACTGTTTGTACTTTTAGTAATTATTTGTCACCTATAATAACTTGGTACTTCAAATTTAATGACCATTCCACATACTCATCTGTCCACTCTTTTTCATAAATCCACTGTCAGTGCAATCTAATAAAGAAGACTGTGCTTACTGTATGGCAGCATTTCAAGCTGAGTCACATGTATCCAGTGATATTCTTTAAGGAGATAAGGCAAAAACCAGACTCTTTGGGGAATTTTCTTCTGACGATAACCTATGTCTAACCCTTCTTTCTCTTACTTTCTCTAAGATATCGACGAGTGCCAGGCTGCAGGTGTTTGCCTCACAGGTGTTTGTGTTAATACAGAGGGCACTTTCTCCTGCATGTCCTGCGATCCGGGCTTCAGCGTAGCGCCCAACGGCCTCTCTTGCGAAGGTACAAAACAGTGGGGTGTCTCACTGTGGTCATTGAAATTTATGATTCTCATGAAGTCATTTTCACAGTCATCTGTTCCAACACTGCATGTGACCCCTCCTTTGGTAAGACGCTGCTGAAGTCGATGATGGATGATTTGTTCTCTGTGGTCTGGAAGTTCTTCCTCCAACACGAAAAAGCAGATTTATAGTGTGACCAAATGATTCGTAGCTTGTGTAATTGTTGCATTGATCATGCCTCTGTGTATGTAAATGCAGATGTGAATGAATGTGAGGATGCAAGCCTATGTCTGGGAGGCCAGTGCACCAACACCATCGGCTCCTATAGCTGCTTGTGCCCATCTGGACTGGAGTTGGGAGATGAGACGTCTTGCAGAGGTATTTATACATTTGGCATATACCGTTAGTGGTTCATTCTTCCTAATGGGTTACCACAAGATGGCATGTTGACACAGCTGTGAGAGTCTATTTGTGCTTGTTTGTGACAGACATCAATGAGTGTTTAACCATAGCGGGAATTTGTGGAGAAGGAAACTGTTTGAATACGGAGGGTTCCTACAGATGTATGTGTCCTGATGGATTTACCACCACAGATGAACGTCCTGGCTGCCAGGGTAATGGGACATCATCATTCAAATTTTATTAACTTTATGTAACAGAGTGAGGCTTTATGTAACAGAGTGAGGCAGATTAATAGATGGCCTGAGATGGTAATATTTTTATATATTTTTTTAGCAGATTTAGCTTAAGTCAGTTTTTAACATGAAGTTCCATTTTAAAAGTAAGTATATCTTAAATATAATTTGTTTCATATTGTATCCACAACCCTTCATGGATTTCAGTGGAATTTTATGTGAGAGATCAGCACATGTAACTGAAATGGAATGACAGTGATGCTTGTTTTTTAAAGTATTTTAGCTATGCTTGAAGTGCATAGCTAAAATGAATCTGGCATGCAGTTTAGTTATTGTCTTCTACTCACATAAAATTTCAATAAAATGCATTGAAGTTTGTTTTATGACAAAATGTTTGAAGGTATGCATAGTTCATAAAGGCATTATGCAAACTTGCATGTGTTTTCTGATAAAGTGCAGACTAGTTGTTCTCAACAAATGGCTCTGGGTGCAGAGGCTGAGTGTAATTGGCCATGGCTTCATCAACTGTCCCCATCTGGACATCAGTTTGATGTTTTTCCAGCCACACCCAGTAACCCACTGGTCATAAGATAGGAAACAAATGGAGCCTGATCGTTAACTGAAGATAAATTTTCAGCAAATTAAAGCTTTTGCTATAAAAAGACCATGAAATTAATGGACAGGATGTTAGAATTGTGTTGTGTTGTAAAATTATCTTCCCTTGCAACATCCAGACATGACCTGAAGCATGTACCTCCCTAGAAACACAGGTGAGGTCCAGGATGATATTTGCCAAGGGTTACTTACATTGGAGATCTATAGTTAGTCCTAAAATGCAGACGTCTTTCTACCAAAGTGTTCATCATGCAGCAGCTTTGGTATCCTCTAAACCCTTTGAGCAAATTGCCCAGACTGTGTCAGGTACTTTGGCTTGCTGCCACAGCAAATACTGGGGCCTAATTATCCTATAAATCAGCGGGTGTCGTATATTTTCTTGCAGTCTGCCACGGTGTGTACAGTGCTGACACAATGAAAGCCAGACCCCTCTGACATGAACCTACAGGGGGAGGGAGCGAGGAGGACAAGGGTTTGTGAGGTCATTTGAATGAAAGATGGGCTTTGGCATGTAAAACCAAAATGATTCTTGGTCCCAAAATGGAAAATGTATAATAAAAAGCTGACAACAGACTGAAACCCATTTTAACTTGATCCAGATTAGCAAGTTGCGCCATAAACTTTTGAAGAATTTGAAGCAAAATAAATAACTCTATTCCCATGGAATTACAGCATGTTTGTTTTAATGGCTTATTTTATTTGGTTTTCCTTACTTCTGCTTTAAATGTTTACCTTTTCATTTCTGTAGTCATAATATACCAATCGTTAAGATTTTAAACATTTTATCCAGATGATTAATTATCTCTATTTATTATTCTCACCCCAAGTGCCCGACACAAAATGTCATTATGCGGCATCCATCTATAGCTAAAGGGCCAGAATTATGTACAATTGACTTTTTTGATCTTTACATAATGTTATTCCCACAACAAAAACATACCTGGAGTCTTGCTTTATTATGCATGTTTGAGAAATCCTTAAATCTCTCATGGCAGCCATTAAGCTGTGCAAAACATGTCAGGGAACCAAACGTCGCCTTGGAGGACAAAGCTCCTGCTCAGAGTTGCAGTTTCCAAACTTCCAAACCTTTGCTTCACTGAGCACTCCTCCCCCACAACTTCCCCATTCAGCTCCTTCAGATGAGCCAGCAGCAATTAGCAAACACCTGGTGAAACCACACATCTGCTGAGATCATCATATGAGACACTTCTCAGTGCAACACTGGTAAAAGGGATTATAGAGGGGTGATGTTGTGATGACTTCCTGAAGAATCAATTCCTGATTCTTCCTGAAGAACAGGACTTTATTAAAGACACAGAGGCCCAATTTCAAGGCATTAAATTACCAAGTCTACTTCCTCTTCATATATTTGTAAATATTTCAAAGTTTATATACGTTTGTATAACTGAACATAGTCACTAGATTGTGCTATAAAATGGCACAAAAATAGAAAATACATAATACTGCCCCTTTTAGTCTTTTCTGATTCAACCACCAAAAACACAGATAAAATACTGAAGTAACTTTTAGTTTATAGAAATTCTCAGTGGTGCCTCTGATTTTTGCCAAGGGTGATTTTGTTTAAAAAAAACGTAGTAACATTAGATTTTTCTCCTATGAAGTAGTTACTTGATTGTGCTATAAAGTTATTCGATGTACCTGGAAAACACATAATATTGCCCCTTTAAGTGTGTACCACTCTTTTTTAGTCTGAGAGAAATGTTCTCTCTGCAGTGGTAAAGTAGGTTGGCACCAGGCAGAGGTTCCAGGTTCAAATTCCGCTTGCTCTCTCCCTGGTTATAATCTCGGGCACTGTGTAAGGAAGGGCATTTAACTTAAATTGATAACAAAATGACAAAATTGTTCTTAGCCTGGAAAGTGCCGGTCAGAAGTATACATACGCTCAACATCAAAGAGTATGCAGTATTCATTGATGCATTTAAACAGTTGGTTTTGGGGAGGTATCTCAGGGGTAGCTGAATTGAACTTAATGCACTTGTACTCCTGGCAGAAAAACAGACCGTTAGCATGATGCTACCGCAGAAATGCTCGACAGTTGGCACAATGTTCTTAAGATTAAGTACAAACACATGTTTTACTATCCAAATAGCTCATTGTTTTTCATGTCTGAGCAATAAACTTTTCCCCTGAATGCATTTGGCTTGCTTCTATGAGCAGCTGCCAATTTCCGTTGAGGCTGAAGGTGTCAATTTTAAAGCAGCACTTCGCTCTTGCTCAGCACACTCTGTCCATGGAAAACTTTAATTAATTTCACTGTGGACAGGGGCACTGCATCTTGTAATTTATTCTTGGTTTGAACCTATATGACCCGATTGTTATGAACATCCTAACCAAATTCCTTTCGTTGGCAGTTGAGAGTTTGGATTGGATGTTTGAAACCTCTAGCAACAGAAAAGTAACTAATGATAGGACCCTAAAACACATTAAAATTTATTTTTGCGGGATGCCACATTGTGCAGTGTTACAGCAGGTGCACTATATACGGAGGCTATACTTTGATTAAATTGTTTTAACTTTCAAATTAACAGTACATCAAAGGTTTTTGATTAGGCAGTCATTTCTTGAAGCTAATGAGATGTTCCTCTTGTTTTTATTGAGGACAAATGATCATAACTCTGTAAAAGTGAATCAAGAAAGCATTCACAGTGGTTCCCTTTTTTCAATTATTTTAGAAAGGAATGTCTTTAGGCACAAATTAGGGGAAGGCTACAGAAAAGTTTGTGCTGCTTTGAAAGTCCTTATTAGCTTTGTAGCCATCATTTATAAATGGAAAACTTTGCCTAGAGCTGGCTGGTTGTCCAAACTGAGCAATCAGGCAAAAAAATTCCTTAGTTGTACTTCATTAAGAACATAATGGTCATTCTACATAGTTCCAGCAATCCTCTGTGGTCAGAGGACAACCTTCCCCAAGGACAACCATCTCTGCAGCAATCCACCGATAAAGCTTCTAGAGAAGATTGACGAGATGAAAGCTGGTCCATAGTAAATGCACATGGCAGCCCATCTGGAGTTTGCCAAAAGACAGCTAAAGGACTCTCAAACCATGAGAAACTAAAGTCTCTTGGTCTGATTATATTTAAAGGAAACCAGACATGGCTCATCACCAAGCTAATACCTGCTGCTGAGTCCACTTGACCTCAGACTGGGGTGATGTGTAATTTCACAGCAGGACAAGGATGCACATGACCAAGATTTCAAAGTAGCGGCTTCAGGGTGTTTGTGTGTTGCGACCAAAGAGATTAATGTAATGCACCATGGAATAAGGCTGTAACATAGCAAAATGTGGAAAAAGTGAATCAATGTGAACACTTTCCAGATGCACTTTGTCACAGTTCACCCTTCCTGCTATTATCTCTCATAATTGTTTTCATTTCTTTTTCCTTTATTCCTATTTTAGATGTTGATGAGTGCAGCAGAGACGATGTGTGCATTCGAGGAGCGTGTCTGAACACTGATGGTTCTTTCTTATGCTTGTGTGAAGTCGGCTTCAAGTACAACACTGATGCAGCTGACTGTGAAGGTACGATGGGCTTAAGCCCAACAGCGTTGGTGTCCAGTTCTGGTGGTCTCATCGTGATGTTTGTTGACCCCCAACTCTGGCATGAACTTTGCTCTCCATGTGTAAACCAGTGTGTCAGAGCTGGCCGTTTGATCGTCATGCAACATTAGGGCTTAAGCGTAGTGCTGTTGGCTATGATTGATTATCTATAGCACATGAGGACCTTGTTCCAGTGAAAGTGTCCAAGCCTGGCTTAGAGGCTTTCCTCTATGATCCCCAAGCTGAGAGGTTTGTGTGGCTGGAGCCCTGAACTCCCACTCCCTTGAGGAAAGCATGAATGACCCCATTGTGAGCAAGAGGTGTTTTTTCCCTCTGGAACGTCTCCCGTTTGCTCCTTCACAAGTTCTTTGGTTGCTGTAATAATATTGTTTTTGGCCATTTTTGTTGCCTGCTTCATTTACTGAGGACAGCTTCGCCACAGGCCTCTTGGCCAACTCCTATTGGACAGACATTACATTTTAAGCACTAGAGCAGCGGAGGGAATACAAGTTTGCATGTAGGGTGAATGTAGCTAATTTTAGACCCTTTTTGTGTGATTCCAGCAAACATTGTTCTTTTTTTGTTCTTGCAGACCAGGATGAGTGTAAAGAGTTTGGGAGCTTGGTGTGCGGTACCTGGAGCTGCAAGAACACCATTGGCTCCTATAAGTGCAGTGCCAGCTTCATGCCGTGCCAGCCTGACATGCTTAGCGGAGACTGTGGTAAGTGATTAAATGTCTTCAGGGCATTGTATTGGAATCTTACGTGCCATACCAGCTCAAAGCAGTGCATAATTGTGACAGGAAATGAACATAAGATGTCCATATTTTATTAGTCCCTCCTAAGCATTGCTTTTAGGTTATTTGTTTACTTTTTCCCCATTCTTCTTGGCAAAATAGTTGAAGATCATTAAGATTGGATGGAGAGTGTCTGTCCACCTCTAAACTGTGTTTCAATTCAAAGTACCCTACAGCCTTTGTAACATTGTAGAATATGCAGCGTTAATCTTCCTTCATAAATAGTGTTTTGCATGTAGGTCACATGTTTTGTTCTCAAGAGTAATGAACCTTCTTACATACCAACACACATAGACTATATTGACATATTCATGGTTGAGACAAGTAAAAAAATCTCATCTGTGTAGTCGTGCAAAGTAAAATTCCTTCTGGAATCAGGTGCTTTTATATGCAGAAGAGTCCCATCATTGAAACCTTAGAAAGGGGAAACAGTCTCTTCTCTTTGACAGTAGAGTTACTGAGCATCTCTGGAAAGCAGAAACAGGAGCTGAAAGTTGATCAGTTCTGTGGCCTTTTTGGGGAAAGAACTATGAGTCCAGCCCTTGTTATCCTCTTTAGTGCCCCCTGTGGAGAGATTTGGCTCTTACAATATATGAATGAAGAATTGTCTGTAGTTGTGGAATTAAGCACCTGTTGCACAGAATGATCTTACAATTAGTGAGTCCTGCATAGACTCACTTATTTTTGATACCAAAGTAATTTAGATCAAGCGGGAGAATAAGCTGTGACTGAATGATTTTCTGCTTCTTGTCACTACCATCCTAACCTTGTTTGGCTGACTTTCATCTCATTTGTTCACCATGTTATCTGATTAACACAAGTTGGTAACATCTTTATAAGAACTACCTGAAACCACAATCTAATCTCTAGGTCATTAAAATGCATGTTTAGCTTAACTATGTGGAGCATCAGTGTCTCACTGTTGTGGAATGGCCTTTTAAAAGTGGTCACACTCCTTGAAAAAAAAGGATGACATTTTATGTAATTTATTGGTATAATATGATACAAATCAACACAAAGGACAGAAGGACAGAAGGAAATGTTCATGAATGGATGACATTCATACACATTGAATGTATAAACCATGCATGGTTTATAAAATTGTTTACAAATAAAAATCTTAAAATAATTATGATGAGAAAATGAAGTCTGTTCATACTTCATTTTCTCATCTTGCAGCCAGTCAAGCCGACAAGTATGTTCGAGCATCATCATCCTGCTGGATGGTGAACCTTGTCTCATTTGATTTGCATCCTCTAACATAATTTCTTCCGGAATATAATAGCCTGGTCTGACAAGCATCCTTTTTCACTTATTGTGTGAATTTCTTGCAGGTTTCTGCTCAACATAACATGCATGTGGGCCAAATATTTCCATTTTGGTGTCAACAGACTCTTCCAGTTTTGTATTTCTTCTCGCCAGTCGTCCTTTAAGATTTTCCTTTTCAAAGCCTACTCCAGCTGAACTGTAGATCTCCGCAGCTTCTTCCAGACTTACCACAGACCTCCAGACCGCTTTTCTCGTTAATGCTCTCCTTGTTCAGCTCGTCATTTTAAGAAGATGACCTTGGGTTTGCAGTTGAGTGACACACTCTGGGGAGTGAATGAGATTCTTGGCATGATACATTGTGGAGCATCAGGACATTTAGTTTATTTTTATGTGAAAGCAATGAGAGGAAAAAAATAAAATGAGTCTGATTCTTTAATATATTGCGAATGCCACTTTCATGAGATCTGACACCAAACACTCCCAGTTCAGCACTGACTCAGTGCTCCAGTTAAAGAACTTGACCTCTTACCCCAACACCAAACACAACAGCAGCTTGTTTCACCTCAGGACGGGAATATGTGGGAGATACTGCCGTCACTTCAATAAAAGTCCAAGGAGGGGAGCTCACTTACTTCATGGCCTTTTTCAACTGCTTGTAAAAATCAGCCGATATTTAAAAAGGGAGCAGAGGCTGTAATTTGCTGTTTCTGCGAGTGCCGGTGTTATGCCTTCGGAGGGGACAGCGGTTGTCGTTGGCGCTGCTCCCTGCTCTCATTTAGATTTAGGCGCCATGACATAAAAAGAAAAAACAGGTTTTTTTTTTTTCCCCACAGCAAACGTCACCCACAATTGTGCTATAATGAGTGCACACAAGCCCTCCTTGATGCTGTGGTTATTGTTTTTAGTTTTTAGTCACACTCATAGTCATAACTTCCCTGAAGCTATGCCATGTCTTTAATAAGGCTTTTCTTAAATAGGAAATTGGCTGCGGTTACTCTCTTGCCTTTTATAAATGTATAGACTGTAGATGACTTTAACTTATTTGTTACACTTTGATAGTTCTTTTTGTCATAGAGGTATGACCATAATTTACCAGATGAGTTTGCTTGTTGTTACCTTAGAAGGTTTGTGGATCTTACAGTGAACCTCAGAGATTTACAAATCTCTGTACAATAGTTATGAGGTTCAGTAATATGGTTGCACCTCTATTAAGTTGTCCTTTTGTAGGAGTTCTTTTCAAAAGTGGTTCAACCTATGAGGTTATTAGAACATGTTTTGCTCATAAGCTTCTACGTTTTCTCAGTATGTTGTCAGGTGTTGCAGAACCTGTTAATCACTCATTCATCTAAGTCGGGTGGGTAGCAGTAGGGAAATACTTTAGACATGTAGGAGAGTTTGATGCCACTGTTCTATAGAATATGTCCCCCATTAAATGCGGAAAAGATTTTGAAATATTTGGTCATGTACTCAACTATTACCCAAAATATATGGGAAAGTATGGAAAGTTAGGGTGTATAGTAGTGGTGTATTTTTATCACCACTATGCATATATGATGACATACATGTAAGATACATCTCACTATAATCCCTTTTTATACAGAGATCAGAGCACATCCTGATCCAGAAATAAGTTTTCCTTGGTAAGATTATAATGATACCTGGTTGTTAATAACATCAACTTCTATTATTAAACTCCTTACTCTCCTTATTCTATTCTCTGATTTACTTATTTTTTCCCATCAGAAAATTTACATAAGTCATTATTACACAGAAAAAGTATTTTAAAAATCATTCCATTTCTGGTGTAAGGTTAGCTCTTGGTGTAGTAATCTCATTTTCTTTTAATTTAGCATTTTCCTTGCCCACAAACAATTAGTGTTGTGATTAGCACGCTGAATTCTCCTTAGATGACACATGCAGATGGCTTGTCAAGTATTCTTGTCACTCAAATATTCAGATACTCAGAAGAATAAAGACCATTATATTTGCTTTGTTCTTGACGCTCACATTCCTCCAAGTATGATAACTTGATTGCATCTCGTTGCAGCATATGGTTTGCAGCAGATTCTTTGCTTCGTTTTACACATGAGTGAAATGCTGCCTTCAGACACCGACGATTTTGTTTATTAGCCTTCACTCTCAGACCTCCCAGCTGGCTGCCAGTTTCATTCCAACATTCACAACTCCACTTGAGTTCTGCACAATTTATAAAAATGCTCCACAAACTCTTTACTAATTATTCTATCCTTGACTCAGCCCCAGGAATATTTCTCTGAATTTTCTTTCAGCTTCCTTTCCAGTTTGAGTTTCAAGCAAGAATGAAAACCGAGTGGGCCGGTGGTTTTCAGTACAGAATGCGTCTGTTCATCCTTCATCTTCTCATCTTGCAGCCAGTCAAGCCCACAAGTATATTCTAGCAATTTTGGTTCTTTAGCATTTCCTGACAAAAGTTCTACGAACAACAAAGACAATTTTGTCTGTGTGGATTTATTAGCTTGTGGGAGCCCCTGTCTCTGACCCCTGAGGTATGTTAGAAGCATTTCCAAGTCAGAACAGAAACTGACTCAGGATTACTGTTCCCAAGAGCTCTGAAAAGGCAGTTGTCTGTTCTGCAGGAGAAAACAGGACTCTGGCTGTGTTCACCTTTTTAAATCAAGCATGTTGTGATTTTCTAAACTGCCTTCTATCTTTTCTCAACTCACACAGCAGTTGCGGAGCAAAATAAAAGACCCTTAGCCCTGACAATTCACTTATGTTTTTGTCCGACTCTTGTAAAACGTTTCAAAACCTATTAATTCCTCTTTCATCGCATAAATAAGAACCATTAGTCTATCACAAAAATCCCAATAAACTGCACTGTTTATAACGTGAAAAATTCAAACCATGAATACTTTTCCATGGCTCTATTTATAATGAACATTCTGTCATTCATTCTGTAAATTGTTTCCTTTATATGGTTGAAATGTTTTGCTTTCATTGTATTTATAATCACATATACATGTTTGCTAGTAAACTTGCTCAAACTGCATTTCTTTTCTTAACGTTTTGATGTTATTGTATTTTTCTCAACTTGAGATGAGTTACTAAAACTGGAAACTGACAGATTTTGCATCAGCAGACTTGGCAACCAGTGGGACAATAGACAGAAACCAGTGGCATGCCTAGCTGACCAGAGGACAAAATCATGTGACAAAAGTGTGAACAATAAACTCTCTGATTGTTTTTTAAACAATTATAATCAACCTCATTCTTCTGCTGTTTCAATCTTTGGCCTCTCTTTTGCAGAAGATGCCAAGAAATACTAAATCATGTATGGAAGAAATTGCTAACAAATGTTGCCGTCAAACAACACTTGGTGGGGAATCAGCAGACCTGTGAGAAGGTCCAATGTTAAAAGCCTCAACAAGCCTCCTTTTTACTGACAAATAGCATTTATCAGTACTTGCTTTATGATTTACTACTGTACTTCTGTGTTTGATATCCACTAGGTTCTCTAAAAAGCACCTTAAAATCTCTAAAGGCTTTTTTCTAAAGGCTTAAAAAAGTTAATTGTAGTATATTTATTAAAAAGACTGGATTTGATATTTGCCAGGAATATGTAAAAAAAAATGTCTTCATGCCAGATCTGAAGTCTGTTTTTCCCAAACAGCATGTAAAGTATCAGCACACTTGGCTGCAGCTTCTTACTTCATTGCCGCAATGAAGAGGTTGTGGAAGATCCATGCTGCATTCACTGGCTGTAAACCGAATATTTGAAGTTGAATGATGAACAGCAAAGTTTGAAAACTTGTGTAAAAAATTACACCATCCATATACTGTTTCTGACATGTTATGATGGCAGTGATCTGTTGTTATATAATGGTCCGAGTGGTAGTCTGCATGTGGTACAGTTATTTAGGACAAGCAAGGCATGTGTTTACGGATTCAGTTTGAATGTCTGTTGTGCAGAGTGAAAGTGTAAATATTCACGTTCTGCTCACTCTCCTTGCAGATATCGATGAATGCAACAATGAGACTATCTGTGGGAGCCACGGCTTCTGTGAGAACACAGACGGTTCCTTCCGATGCCATTGTGACCAGGGCTACACCAACCCACCTGAAGATATTACCAGATGTGTTGGTATGTAACTGCTATCACCTGAATTATTGGTGATAATCCAGGTTAGAATTCGAAACTGAGATTTTATGTTTGTGCAATTGTGAGTTTGTGCATTGTTCTACATTTGAATCTAAATGCAATAGCAGATCTGCTGCTGAAACAGTATCTCTATTCTGCCTATTTAAACAAGGCTTTTTGCAGCCGGTAAAAGTCTGCACATATTTATGTCAGTTTATTAAAGCCAAAAAATGCATTCTCAAAGAATGAGTGAGTCATTTTGTTACACTGATTGTGATGTAAAAATGGCCATCTGCTGAAAGCTGGTGGTAATTTTGGCTCAAATTATACAGATGAAAAATTATTTTCTGCAATCATGGTTTTACAGAAACAGGTCAGGAATGTCACAAAATTTAGAACTCATCTTCTCAACTGAGCTTTACTCAATATTTTTGCAAATCAGAGTTGCTACACTAACATCCTGCAAACATTGCCTACTTTGTATACTGAAATATGCATAAAAAATTGTCCTTTAGACTCATTGTATAATATAAATTCACAATGAATTTATGGCAGACATTTTTAATTGAGCAGAGAAGAAAGAACAGGAGGAAGAATAGTAGCATACAAGGACAGAAGGAAAAGAGATTGGAGGAGGACTGCAGAAAACCATGTGAAATATTTTTCATCTAATCAAATAAATAATCTAAATTGAATTGAGTTATTTTTTTAAAGTATATAATAACATTTTTAGGATTGTGGAAAATGCTAACGATTCCTGACGTCCATAGCCAAGCAATGTGGCTTAAGCTGCTTAAAAACTTCCACAAACTCAGGAATATTGTGCGTGTTCTGTGAGCTGCTCACACTGTCTGCAGATGGTTACGATTTCATATTCAAGCGTACCCACTGAATAGATTTCTCGTGAAAGTTTGATGAGCTTGTTGGTTTCTCCTCAGACACCGCACACCTGTTAGTGCAGCACAGAGTGTTAATTTGACTGCTGCGCCTCCATTTGACTGCTGCGCCTCCATTTGACTGTTTACACATTTCTCTTTATTTCTTAAATAATTTACTGCATGTGGTTTTTGTGGCTGATGAACTGTAATGTGATAGGCACAAATAAGTGCAAATCATTAACTTCTGATGGACTTACTATGTGTATTTGAATCTGCATATACCTAGTGCAGCCTGTTATTGAAAACATACATGTGCAATGAAGTTGTGGAAAATGTGGGAGCTTTGTGTTCTCTAAAACTGTGGTTTTCAACCCTCATCTGAATCGAAAACATTAAATGCATTGCACAGTGTGCGATTAAGTGCTGTAAAAACCTGGCAATTACTTAGTTATTTCCCTGTGGAGGCAGAGAAACACCTAAAACATGCAGGTATTATGCAGGATTCTAGCTTCTCTGTGCTTGCTTTTACATTTCAAAATGATGCAATACATTGAGTAGCTTTATTATTTTAAAAAAATCTATATTTATGGGAGGGAGGGGTATTCTGGTTCTATTGAGGCAAAAGTTGAAAAAGGTGAAGAGGTCTGAAAATTTTTGTAAGAAACTAAAGAGCTGACTGATTCCAGGTCCAGTGTTGCAAAGGTTGATGGGACACATACTGTTCTTGAGAAAAAAGTACTTTGGTAGTTGTAATAAGGTTTAGCAGGATTTTTCAAAATTTCTCAACCTACTATTGTGTTTTCTAACACTTCTACTTAGCCAGACTTCATTGCAATTTCTCAATATGGCCTTGATGATTATCTAAATTCTTTCAAAGTTTCTCTGTAGACTTCTGCCATCTTTACTTGTTCCACCATCCTTGTATCTGACCAAGATTGCACCTTGTTCACTCCATACTTACTCTACGGCAAATTTATTGCTAAGTTGTCTGCTTCAATTAGACAGATCGCTGCTGTTATTTGCATCTGCTGTTGTTTGTACTGTGATTGTGTGCCAGTCATGCTTACAACATGCTTAACTCTCTTACTCTGCGTTTTCAGACCTGAACGAGTGTGAGATGAGCTCGGCGCTGTGCGGAGAGGCCCTGTGTGAGAACTTTGACGGAAGCTTCCTGTGCATCTGCCCCAACGACAATGAGGAATTTGATCCTGAAACCAACCAGTGCCGCTCCATGGGTATGAGTAGTCAGAGGACTTAATTCTCTATCCTATCGTCGGGAGACGGAGTTTTAACTGGTTTAATGAGCTGTCTCTTATTATCCAAACAAGGGTGACAAGGAGGACATAGCCTCCTCTGTAAATGTTTTTTTAGTTCTGTCTGTATCCATTTGTTTTAAAGGCTGCGACTGACTTTGGGTGGTTCACTTCCAAAAAATCTGCATTAGCCTAATCCCTGAGATAGATAATGATGTAAGTCCTACAAAGAGTTCAGAGAAAACCTAGTTCCTTTATTTAGAAGATAAACAAAGATCGAGTTTTCTTACTGGCAGCTTAAGATACTTTCTTCTTCTTTTACATAAATTGACCGTAAGTAACCTTAAGAAAGAGATAAGGGCTTTTGAACAATTCAAATACAGTGGGTGTCCACAAAATTGAACATATTTACATTATTGAGTGGCGCGCCATCATTCGGGATGTTTTTTCTTCTTCTTGGCCACTAAATCCCTGCTATGCCTTTGTATAGCCTTTTGCCACATTCCTCTGTTTGCTTTTGACGTGTGTGAATCAATCATGTGAGTCTGAATTGGTGTGTTGACTCACATGCCAGTGTTTCCATTTGGCTAAGCCAGCAGCTTAGGAGTGAAATGCCTGAGCCCATCACACTGGACAAATGAGCAGGCCAGGGTAACGCACAGCCTGCTGATGGATGCAGGGTGAAAGCAGAAGCAGCTTTTAGTTGTTGCAGCGTGATGATGTGCCGATAAAGTGTAGGATCTTATGGCGCTTGATCACAATTGCATGTTTTAAGATCTCCTAACTAGTTAATCAAACAATAATAAGCTTAGTAAATGCAAAAAGTAATAAGTGGCTTTTGTAACCTCGTGAATGACTCATTGATTCGCTCTTGGGGTAATTTTGGTAGGCCAGACATTTGTGGGGTTCACCACTACTCCATGTTTGTTCACCCGTGGATAATTTGCTTTTGATATGATTCATCGGAGTCCCAAAGCCTATAAAACTCGCATCGCATTTGCAGCACCTTGTCAGCAGCCAAAACTCAGAAGCATGGAGCTTAACGATCTTATGTATTTGAAAACATTGAGGCTTTTAATAAAACTCTCCAATCAATCCAGTAATCCTTGAATATTAGTAACTTTGTTTCTCACTTATTCTTAAATTTTTTTGGATCAGTGTGTTGATTTTTTTTTTTTTTTACGCTCTTTTAGCCTACCTTATGTTGTTGGACAAGATTTATGTTGGGGCTTCCTTGATTCTGCATGTAATCTTTGCAATAAACATGTTCAATCAGACCTTATTCACAATTTAAAAAGGAATCATTTATTATGAAAAGACCTAAATATTGATATCTGCTCATGGAGGTTATTATTTCCTAATGTTAAAATATGTTTGGTTTGGAACATGTAGTTTGTGACAAAACTGCAACAACAGAAGGAATTTGTAAGAGGATGAACAGTGTTGTATGGCACTATGCCTGTGTAACTAGTTATTTTTCTTACAGTAGTTCCAGTGATGTACTTCGTATCCTAATGAAATGCTTTTGTTTGTCTTCAGCTGATCCTGACACTAAGCCGGTGTCTACATCCACTCACATAACTGAGGAGAGGAAAGATTGCTATTATAACCTAAATGATGCCAACTTCTGCAACAACGTCTTGTCTCGTAACACCACCAAGCAGGAATGCTGCTGCACAGCCGGCGGCGGCTGGGGGAACAACTGTGAGATGCACCCCTGTCCTTCTGTAGGAAGAGGTACAGCATGTGGCCAACTCTCTGGAAAATTGATGTTTTCCTAATTTCAGCTCCTAGATTGTCATTTTTATGCATTTTACAGATGATTACAATCAGTTGTGTCCCCATGGCAACGGATTATTAACTTTACCTGGGTCTTCTTTACTTGGTCATGAAGAAGACCTGCGCTACAAAGGTGAGCATATTTGTTCATAACAGATCAAACTGGTTCAGAAAGGTGAAATATGATCATTGCATTTTGAGATTCTTTTTTTTTTTTTGCATTGAGCAGTAACGTGTGAATTTGTCTTTCCTTCAGATGCAAATGAATGTGAAATGTTTGGAAGCGAGATATGCAAGAACGGGCAATGTTCCAATTTCTTTTCTGGGTATACCTGCTACTGTCAGTCTGGATATTTCTATGACAAAATCAGGCTTGAGTGTGTGGGTAAGAATTTACATTATCTCACTTAGTTAGGCTGCACGTCTTATTTATGTAATTCCTTCTATTATATTATATTCTTGTCTACAGCTTTTATCAAGAATTCAGATTTTTTCCACAACTAGAATATCTCTCAAATATCCTAAAGAGAAGATAAGAATTAGTCTCAACTCATCTTTTAATGACACATATGCAGGTGCTTGCATAACATTTTAACACTATGATAATCTTGATTAAAGTATTCAGTGTTATTCAAAGCAAAAATATATGACAATTTAATTTCAGAAATTGTTCCTACTGTAGGTTAAAATGTGAATTGCTACACATGTCGTCTGTAGGAATGTTTGCCAAGGTTCTAGCTGCAGCTGCAGTTTCAAATCCACTTACACCCATCATCATTTCTACAGTTTAAGTAATAACAGATCAGACAAAGTGCTGATGTGACTAAACGTTTTCACCAGCAATAAAACCCACTTGTTGTTTTATCAGCTGGTGACGATCCACTGGCTGATAAAAAAATTTAAAAATGACACTTTTCTCTCATTTATAAAGCAAATTTTGCTTTTTTTAAAAATGTTTCCCTGTTACTAAAAACATGGGCAGTCATGGTGTGAAAGCGAAAAAAGAGCACCACCCACTGGTAGCATTAGTTGGCAACATAATTTGAAATTGCTGTAAAACATTAGCGAGTAACCTGTAAGCATATTAACAAGCCGAGTGCAGCAGGTAGCCTAATTTCTTAACATTGACTGTTATACTTGTTTTAAGCTTAAAATAATAGAACATTATTAAACAAATCCATTTTTTTTCTATGTTTAAAATCAAACAAGTAAAGGTCATACATCAGATTATTCTAACTGTAATAATAAAGGTGTCGTATTATTTCATTGTTCTAACACTGCATCCTTCCTTCTTGGCTTCTTTTTTGTGGTGTTTCCTCATTCTCTCTTTCTTTCCTTCCTGCTGTACAGTGTACTATCAACCATCTTTCTTTCTTTGTCCAAGTTTTTTGCAACTGGAAATATTTCAAGAATATCAAATTTCTTGTTTTGTAATGAGGGGAAAACAATAACGATGTCAAAGCTAATAAAATAATATTTTCATGCATTTTGAATCTTCCCTGATGGATTTGCTCCATTCTTGTTTTTGTATGTGACCAGATTATGATGAGTGTGGATTTGGAAACCCTTGTGAAAACGGAGCATGTGTGAATACAGCAGGATCGTTCAACTGTTTCTGTAGTCCTCCACTAGTCCTGGACAGCACACAGCGCCGCTGCGTCAGTCCCAACACAACAGAAGGTCTGACATCCTCTAATATGAAGTATTTCTTTTTACCCTGGTTTTTAAGGTGTGAAATGTTATGCCACTCTGATCTAACCTTTATTTAAACACTTTCTCTACTCATTTTTGTAAAATCTTCTTTCTCTCCAAGACATCATAGTTTCACATCAGGACGTGCACGTAGATATTTGCTGGCGCCGACTCGAGGGGGACAACATGTGTGCAGAACCGATTCAGGAGCGCAGATCGACATTCACTGAATGCTGCTGCTTGTACGGCCTCGCCTGGAGTGGCCACTGTGCACTCTGCCCCACAAAATACTCTGGTGAGAAGCAGAATACACATTGGACTCTGGTTCTCTTGTAAAATTTTGATTACTGTAACAAACCCTAATGTTTTACTTTGATCCGTCGTGCAGTTGATTATGCTTCCATGTGCAACCTGCCTTGGACAGAAGGCGCAGACAGCCTTCGAGAGCGGATAGGATACGAGTATGGAGTTGAAGAGCCAGAGATTCCCCCATACTGGGATAACTATGGCGGTGGCATTCCTGAAAGTGTTCCCATATTTACTGACGGCGACTACAACAACCCGCAACCACCTTTTCGTGTCCCAGTCTTACGTCCAGGTGGGAGCCAACCCCAACCACTGGATCGCTATACAGCTAACACATATGTCACGTCCTTCAGATCAACCCTGCTCCTCAAGACACAGTGCCCTGTTTGTGCTACATGTTACCCTGCTTCAACACAGATGATTCAAGTGAATAAAATTCAGCAAAAGTCTGTTAATCAGCTGTCAATTGAAATTAAGTGTGCCAAAGCAGGGAAGCATCTAAAACTTGCCAGGAAGTACTGATCTAGAGTAGAAATTAAAAACATTTATTCAAGTTTCTACTTGTACTCTAAACATTACAGTAACTCTTGCTCACGAATAATTTGCATGCAATGATTAGAAAGTAAATTACTTTTAGGTAGTTGTTTCTGATGTGATCTATTACATGTAGCCTGTCTGTCTGACTGTCTGTCTGTATCTGTTTGATCAGAGCGGCGCTACGACAGCTTTGAGGGTCTCCGAGCGGAAGAGTGTGGAATTCTGAACGGATGTGAAAACGGACGCTGCGTTCGTGTTCGAGAGGGCTACACCTGCGACTGCTTCGATGGTTACGAACTTAACCTGGATAAGATGGCCTGCATAGGTGGGTTCTTTCCCTCTGTATCTCATACATTCAGAATGTGAAGGACTGTGTCATAAGAATCTCTTCATCAATGCAGTAAGAAATCTCTTTAATTGATTTACTGTAAAGATTTCCTGTTGAAGCTGAAAGCAAAATCTGATACTCTGCCTTCGAAGAGCATGACTCTGAGCATAAGCTGTTCATAGTCATATCTTTGGATGATTTCAGCATCCTTTACACTACATCATCTAGCTCAAGGAGAAGCTTTGAGTTTAACAACCTTGCACGAGATTAGGTTTAGATTAGGTTTCTTAAAACATTGCTCACTATCCTTTTGGTCTTAAATTTGTCTGTTGCTTTCTGCCAAGAATGAGGAGGCCTTGAATTTAGCCACACATATATCACATGAAATATTATATCACTTTAGAGGTATTTTGTTTGTCTTAGAAGAAAGTGAGTCTTTAGCAGATCTGAGGTGCTCTGATTGGGCCCTTCTGTTTCTGGCCTTGGAGGCTTATCGCCTGGCCTTATCGCCTCCAAGGCCAGTTGTCTTCCCATGCAGAGTGATTGAACTTTGAGGAAACACGTGGGAGCTGTGCAACCTGTGCCATGCGTCCTGTTATAAATACAGCCTCTCAAATTTCCCCAGCAGGACATGACGTAAACAAAACGAGGGTCATCTGAGACCGAATGCTCGGAAAAAGATACTCAGACCTCCCGAGATGAAAAAAGGAAACAGCTGAAGGCCAAAAGGAAACACTGTCGGATGCATTTTTAATGTAATTTCTAAGCATCCAGCGTTCAACAGTTAAAGCTCAACTGTCACACTTGAGTGTTTTTTTCTGTGTTTCAGATCAAGTATTGGGCAACACGTAAGAGAAGTATTTTTTCTTAGATAAACATTATTTTAATTGAACTTGGTAAGCCAGAAAGACATTGTCACTTTAATTTTATGCTTTTTTTTCTTAATTTCTTTATTTTGTGATAATAATGTTCCCTATATTTATGCAAAAACTTTGTGTTACCTATTGTTCATGCTATAGTAAAGGGGAAACTATACTAGTAAGTGTATGTCCTGGTAAACAGAGTACCTTGCAAAAATATTTTACCCCTTGAGTGTTTTTTTTTCCTTTTGTATTTTATAATTTTATCATCTTCAATTCCATTTTGTTTAGTGTGAGACCAGGACAATGCAGTGCATAATTGTGATAGCCTACACCATTTTCAAAAATTTGGGAAAAGTAAAAATTTTAATTTTATGATGTGCATTTGTATTCCGGTCTCTAGGTCAACAAATTCGAGCCACATTTTTTCTGCCAAAGCAGCTGCATTTAAAGACATGTCTCTTCCAGTTTTGTAAATCTAGAAACTGAAATTTTCTGCGAAAAATAAGCTCAGATTGGTTTATCTTCATCCATTCTGCAACTCTGCAGCTCTTCTTGGTCCCTATTGGGGAAAAAAAAGCATCTTCAGAGCATGATGCTGCCTTTACCAAGTTTCAACTGTTTCTGCCTTAGGAGAGCTGGTCTTAGCAGAATATGCAAGGGTAGGATCGACAGAAGTACAGTTAATAACCCACTTTTTTGTTATGTTTGGTGTGTTTGCAAGCTGCTATTTAGGTCAACAAAACTCAGTGGTCACCATCTGCTTGAGTCCTTTGCTTTCGAGAAATTCAGACTAACAGAAAATGCTGGAATTACAGGAAAAGGGAAGGAAGGGAGGAATTAAAGAAAGCAGGCCAAGGAGTAGGAAATATAAATTATGTTAGCTTTAACACTCATGAGACCACTCAGCAACACATGTGCTGCTGGCAGCTGTTGAATCACCCTGCTTATTGTTACATTTCCCTCTTCCCTGCAGACATAAACGAATGTGAGGACATCAGTGACAAGGTCCCCTTGTGTCAGAACGGCCAGTGCATCAACATGGAAGGGTCCTACAAGTGCATCTGCCTGCCCGGCTTCGTAGCTTCCGCCAAGCCACACAAATGCATCTCAGCAATCCCAGAGTCCACACTCAGGGGGGCAGGAAACTGAAAGAGAAACAAACTTTCCTGCTTCTTAAAACCATCATCACCAGAGAGCCCAGCACTAAACCTCCAACAGTAACACTGTTCGTCCAAGCTTTTCTCCCCACATGTTGCTGACTCACACAAACGTACACAAGCTTTCTCTAATCCCTTCCCCTATTACACATTCAAGAGGACCAAGAACTGGGATTTATAGTTGCCTTAAAGGGATTGTTTTTGAGACTGATTCTTTCATATATTCAGTGACCCAGGCATATTGATTTGCTCATATAATTTCCACTGTGTTTTTTCTGTCAATTCACTTTTTTCGAAGTTTGTTATTTATTTCATTGACATGACGGGCCTCTGAAAGTTTAGAAAGCATCCAGTTTCAGAGGTTAGACTTGATTCCTCTCATTTCTCACAGAGACTCTGTGAAGAGATAAATAATGTATTTTTTGAAGAGAAGGAATTTCTGAAGAAATCTGCCATATATCGTCTTATATCTATCTGGGTCAACAAACAGAATTTTTCCCACTGCTGCCTTTCTTCTTCAGGATTTCTAAACTGAGCACCCAAACTTTCACGTTAAAAACTCTAGCACCACACAAGCTTTGACAGACTGTACATGTGTATGAGGTTCTGTGAGATGTTCAGAAAATGGTGCTCCGACTGTTTAGGGCCATTTTCAAAAAAAAGAAAAGTAATACTAACCCCCATTTCTTTCTTTTATAATAGTATTGCTCTTTTTCACACTTTTATTTAAAAAAAATAAAAGAAAAACAAGCCTTGTTTGCATTTTCTGCAAGAAATTCTGAAATAACAAAGAGGAATTGATTTTATTTGCCATTGAATTTGTTGACCATTATCACAGAGAAAAAGGAAAAAATTCTTCAGACCATGCCCAAGAGTCCTCCAAACGTATTGCATAAAAAGAATGCATTTGTATTTTATTCTGCAAACTTTATTTTTGAAATAATTTATAAAGTAAAAATACCCTCTCAAAATAGGATGAAAACAATTAAAAACTGTTACAAAAATACCAGTGCCACACTTAGTGGTAACTCTTGTATTTTCTTAAAATATTAACAGTTTTACCATTTGTACTCTAAAAACTTGCTAAGAGTGTTTAGAAACTTTTGTTTTGAACAATGACTTTCAGTCAGATAAAGTCTTTGTTACACCATGCTTGAAAAAAAAATTGGTGTAAATTATGTCATTTTGCATGTGAGATTTTCCCAAATCAACACAAAAATAGTTCACCTGACAAAAACAATCATCAACCTCTTTTCATTTCTATTTAGTGAAATTTCTGAGTAGACAGCCGACGATTGGTGAATCTAGGTTGGGTCTGGATCCAGACATTCAGAAGTGAGTAGTTTTAGGTATAATCATCATGGTTCTCCTGTCAAGCTGCACTCCATTGAACACAAAATTTTCCCTGAACAAATTTTATGTTCCTTATCTGTCATTGAGAAGTGTGCACTCTCTTAACATATTCTCTTAATGCTATCTAGCAAAATCAATACCATATTTGACATTGCACATCAAATGAAAGTAAAAAAAGCCACCATTTCTAGCTTTTGTAGATTTATATCTGTTTGTAAAAATGTCTTTAAAGCATTTCTTTTTCTGTATGAGAAGAGTGACACTGTACCATAGGAACTCTGTGTATACCCTGCCCTGTGGAGCAGACTATGAGTTATATAAATATATATATTTTTTGCAAGTGGCACCACTGTTAAGAAATAACAATTTTGTAATGCAAGCACCTGCTTATGTCAATCACAACATTGCAGTATTTTTCATAACAGTAAACATGATTTATCCCCTTTTCTTTTGAATGACTGTGTTATTTATGGTTCAACATCATCAGACATAAATAGCTTGTCTGTAATCATTAGCAGGTATTCTCTGTCGCACATTTAGACCTGATAACATCTGGACATGATGATTAAAGCTAATAATTTATGCCACCGGCCATCTTTCTAGATTTTTAATCTGCAGTTTTATATGAAGCCAACTGTTCTTTGCTCTGTTGTTCAAATATTTGCCTGATTTGGACTGGAGACTATAAATGCGGGTAACGCTGAGCTATTTAAAGTCTTTCAAACAATATTAACTACAGACAGATTAAATGTTGTAAAGCTGTGGTCAGTATCTTGACTGTTAATTTTGTTTACCTCCTGACTGTAATCTGTATCAGTCATCAAAATAAATAACAAAAAACGAACTGTGATGATTTATTCTGTATGTAATCAACGCACTTCAATGAAGAATTGCAGTATGTCATTAATATTCAGACAATTGCTTATAAAGCAGTGAGAGTATAGTTCATCATGTTCTGCACTAAGCTACGAGTTTAAATGATCAGAAAAGAACAAGATCTGAGTTTGGTTAAAAAAAAACAACAAAAAAAAAACATTTTTTTTTTCAAAAGTTAAACAATTTAGTGTTGAAATTATGTCCACTAAATAATGTCACTAAAGACACAAATTGGGAATAGTCAAAGCTTTCTGTGTTTTGTTGCACTGCAACCACAAACTTTCACATATTTTATCAATTGTTATAGAGTGGAAGGGCAATAAAACATGGTTTTCAAAGACAGACAGACAGACAGACAGACAGACAGACAGATAGATAGATAGATAGATAGATAGATAGATAGATAGATAGATAGATAGATAGATAGATAGATAGATAGATAGATAGATAGATAGATAGATAGATAGATAGATAGATAGATAGATAGATAGATAGATAGATAGATAGATAGATAGATTATGTGATGCTGCCCTCTAGAGGTTGAATTTTAATAAAGCGTCTATTGCGCTTTCCCTGCTGTTTTTTATTATCATTTTGGGATGCGGAGGGTTTGTGTTGTTTTTTTTTCAGTCATCTGAATTCGTCTCCGGTCACATTTAGACTTGTAGATTCGTATAATAAAAAATGTTGGCCTTATTGAGAGCTGGACAGAACCTGATCAGGAGCTCCAGAGTTATTCCAACTCGCCCCGCCCCCTTACAAAATTGTCCTTCCGGCTTTCCGTACTGGGAAAAGAGGAAAGGGATTTTGGGAATTAGTGTTTTCTCCTGTGAAAAAGCGTCAACAAGTAATTTGTTCGCCTCGTTTTTGTTTCAATACATTTCCCAGAAGGCAGTGTATCCCATATGTGTGTATTCCTAATGCTCCACTGTAGCATTTAGCTGCCTATAACGGTAAATTACGGCTATTTCCACCAGCTAACTTGCTAGTTATCGCTAGTTGATCGAGAAGCACATTTTGCTGGACATATCTGATGATCATGTCTGCTAATTTAAGTGAGAGAGGTAACATTAAATGCACTGATAGTGTTTACAATAATGAGAGCTGATATTTTCTTCTAAATTTATTTTATAGCTGTCATATGTTGTTTGCCTCTTTTAGCAGGACATAATGAGAGCCGCATGAGTCTGTAGCTACATATTTGGTGGTAATTTTAAAAGGTGTTATTTGCTAATGGAAGAAGAAGAATGTATTTCTCAGTGGCACCAAACGAGGGACAGTTCAACATTACGAAACCGGAAAGTCTTCCTCTCTCCAGAGCAGACCCATCAATCTCCGATCACTCCAGAGTCAAAGATCAAACAAGATGACACCCCCTGCTCAAATGGATCATCTGGTGAATTTTCAGCCAGAGCAAGTGTTGAATCCCCAAACCAATTGCTTCTCATTGTAGTAACAGGACTATCTTTCGCTACACGGCTCTATAAGATAACAGAACCCCCTCACGTGTGGTGAGTAAGGCTCCCAATCTCTGTTAGTAAACCTCTTCAGCTTGTTAGAGTGAGGTGTTCTTTGTGTTTTAGTTGGGATGAAACTCACTTTGGAAAAATGGGAAGCTACTACATCAACAGAACTTTCTTTTTTGATGTGCATCCTCCTCTTGGAAAGGTGAGCTGGTTGAGCATTAGTTTTGTAAAGGTGTCAGAGATCCCACTTCACCCCAACTTCTCCATTCTTGGCCCTTAGTCCGATATTTGTAAGAGGTTTGGTCTCGTAGTGGCTTCTAAGGAGCAGCAGGAGAGTAAAAGTTCAGAGCATTCCTGCATTTAAAAATGGAGAGGTGAATTCATTCAGTCAGGATTTAAACGGATAGATCAACATAAGGTAACGCATAATTGAGGAGTGGAAGGAAAATTATTTGGGTCAATATTTTGAAGAATCACCTTTCGCTGTACTTAAAGATTTGAATGTCTCCAACAGTTTTGCACATCTAGAAAGTGAACTTTATATCAATTCTTGTTTTCAAAATAGCTCATGATATTTTATTTAATGTCATTTTCGGCTCTTCTTTGTTAGCAAAGGAAAATAGAGCATTGTATTTCTTTCTTCAAAATGTGTTAGTGTAACAAACAGACAAAAAAGCTATTTTATGTTACCAATGTGGATCGTGGTGATGTACTAGTTTCTTGTAAGAATCTCCTAATTCTCAGTAGAAAATCTTAACAATAACTATAGGAAATACAATTCAATGCGAATGTGAAGGAAAATGGTTTCCCTCAGAATTGGGATTGGGTCTTCTTGTGAGCCTACTGTGTTAATGTGTTGATCTCTCTTGCAGATGCTGATTGCTCTTGCTGGTTATATGACTGGCTATGATGGCACCTTTCCTTTTGTAAAGCCGGGAGACAAATATGAACACCACAACTACTGGGGGATGAGAGGGGTATGTTGCCTTTCACATAAACACATATTTAATAAGAAACCATAATAAAGGTTTGTCTAGTAACCTCAGGCCTGTTTTTGTACAGTTTTGCGCCATATTGGGGTCCTTCCTGCCAATCTTTGCTTACCTCATAGTGCAGGAGCTGTCTCGTTCTCACACTGCTGCTCTCATCACAGCCGCCCTGCTCATATTTGGTCAGTGATCATGGTTTGCACCAAACATTGAATAAAATTAACAACACTTTTAAGTTTCCACTTATTTCTTCCTAACTAAAATAAAATAACTGAAATGTGATGACGGAAAAGACATATGACGTAATTTCAATTATGATCCAAATCTATAACCTAATGAATGAATGTTTGTTTATAATAAACTGAAGACATTCTTCGTCTAATCCCCTTGCTGCCACAGACACTGGCTGCATCACCATCTCTCAGTACATCCTGTTAGACCCCATCCTCATGTTCTTCATCATGGCAGCCATGCTCAGTATGGTCAAGTTCAACCAGCAGAGCTCCAGGCCTTTTACTGCCCTCTGGTGGCTGTGGCTCGTTCTGTGCGGTGCTGCTCTTGCTGGTGCTCTTGGGGTGAAGTTTGTGGGTCTGTTTGTTATCCTCCTGGTGGGTCTGAACACAGCCGGAGAACTCTGGAGGATTTTAGGCGACCTGAGTCTCTCACTGGTAAACTGCAGCATGTCTTTCAGGGAAAAAATATTTGGGTTGTTGAAATTAATTGGCGACTTTACCTCCTCGTAATCTTGTTCGACTTTCAGATGGATTTTGCAAAGCACTTCCTGGCCCGGGTTGTCGGCCTCATCTTGCTTCCACTATCCCTATATGTGGCAGTATTTGCAGTTCACTTTGCTCTATTGAATAAAAGGTAAGGGAGAGAGTTAAACACAGTATGATCACCGTATAATGACATCTTCCCACTTGAGTCACAACTTTTTTTTCTTTCTGTAGTGGGCCAGGCGATGGTTTCTTTAGTTCGACTTTCCAGTCGCGTCTCATTGGGAACAACCTGTACAACGTGTCCATGCCAGAGTGTGAGTCCTGAGCATAATTGGGAATGAAAGCAAGTGTGATTGTACAAAAAAACAGACAAAAATGTTGACATTCCTCTAATTTGTCTGCAAATTGATAATGAGCCATTATTTTTCTTATCTTTTCTTTTCTTTGCTTAATAATTACATACTTGATTTTACTATTTTACCCAGCAGAATTTTCTTTTAACATTGTTGTCAATGATTACAGAACACACCCTCGGTTTAGATGTCCCCATGGTTACATTATTTGTGCTCTTTTCTTTACGTACTATTTTCTTATAAAGACAAGCTACATTAGTTAGTTTTTTTAAGCAATTATTTTTATTACATAGTTGTTCTATCTGTTTTCTTTGACAGAGGCATAGCAATATTTTTTTCAAAACTTTTGGTGAAGTTCATTAGAAAGCCTAAATTTTTATTTTTATTTTTTCAGTGGAGACACAATCTTGTATTCTATCTTTAAGTACATTTATCTAGAGGAGAAAATAAATATCAGCAGAGAGAGCTACAATTTTTGGCTCCCCAAATCATAAAAACCTCTTATAGAAAAAGTCTTACTTTCTGCTCAGTAGATGTTTGTATTTATGTGTTTTTCATAATTTCCTGAGCATGTTGTTTCTCCAACGCAGACCTGGCATACGGCTCCACTATTACTGTGAAAAATCTCCGTATTGCTGGAGGTTATCTGCACTCCCACTGGCACTTATACCCCGAGGGAGTTGGGGCGAAGCAGCAGCAGGTAGACTACAAGTTGAATATTTCACTTATGTCTGATAAGTTTACTTTGATTTAAGATTTGTTTTCATCAATAGGTGACAGCTTACCTCCACAAAGACTACAACAACATGTGGCTGGTTCACAAACCAAATAATAATAGTAAGAGAATCGTACTTATTGACTTTTTTGTTGTGGACTTTAATGCTCAGTTAGATTCTTTTTTGAGATTTTTATCTGGCTTTTCATGATGGTGTCAGTTAAATGAGCCAGAAGTAGCTTGTTCATTATGTTTTATGGTTATTTGGAAGTTTCTGTGTGTTGTTTATCTTTAATTAGCTCAGTCAGAGATTCCTGATTTGGTTCGTCATGGTGACATAATTCGGCTGGAGCACAAAGAGTAAGTACCAATCCTGACATTTGCTAACAGAAGTCCAAACTCTGTGCGTAGCTTTGACTGCACCGTTTGTTTCAGAACGACTCGTAACCTTCACAGCCACCTCCATCAAGCTCCTCTGACCAAGAAGCACTTCCAAGTTACAGGTTATGGAATTGTGAGTGTTTCTTTAACATATCCCTAATAAAAGTGTTTATGCACACGGTTTGCCATATTAAGTTTACCAACTTCATTGTAGTTTATTTTGTGACAGGGTAATTAAATTTTTTGAATGCTTGTAAAGTGACACACGGTCTTCCAAAGATTTACAGATAAAGCTCTGAAAAGCAGAGACTGTTTGTATTCACCCCTTCCGTCCCCCCTTTCCTCTGATATTGCTTTATAATGTTGAGTGTGATCAATTGCCTCCATATTTTAGCTATCCAGTAAAAGGATACATTTTACTGTACATTTTCTCAGCTTTTCTATGAAAGCCATAAAGGTTTGTTAGAGAACATCATTGGACAAAAGTAGCATTACGAAGACGAAGTAACAGCAGAAATGTCAGCATGAAGTTGTGGAGAGGTTTAAAGCTGTACTTGGAGAGCAATGTCTCATCTATCACTGAATAAAATGTGAGGCGTATTGAACATCTGCAAACTTGCCAAGACATGGCCATCCACTTAACCCCATAAGACAACAAACACCCTTTTCTGATTTACATTTATAAAAAAAAGGCCTTAAAAACATGCCTTCTTTTTGTCCCAGACTGAAATTAAGACATGCTATGTGTATATGCCATGATCTAACAGAATGTTGAAAAAGGTTCCAGGAATATAAACTTTTCTACAGAGCATTGCAGAACTATTACTTTATTGTATCCAGCTAATAAAAGCAACACATTTGGAGTTTTGAGTTTTGCATGTCTACTTAAGCACATTTGTCCCTCTCTTAGAACGGAACAGGTGACACTAACGACCTGTGGCAGGTGGAGGTTTGTGGAGGTCAGAGGGGCGACCTGGTGAAGGTGCTGCGCAGCAAAGTTCGCTTTCTGCACAAAGCCACGGGCTGCGTGCTGTATTCATCTGGCAAGACTCTTCCGAAGTGGTGAATCTTCTCATATTTTCAGCTCTGATGTGGCCTTGTTTTTCACAAATGATCGACATGCCCATCAAGTTTTGTTTTTCTGCAGGGGCTGGGAGCAGGTGGAGGTGACCTGCAGTCCATACCTGAAGGAAACTCCAAGCTCTCAGTGGAACATCGAGGATCACATCAATCCCAGATGTATGAGGCACATTTTTCCAAATATACCTAAGGTTTTCTTTTTTTTTTTTTTTTTTTGATAAGGCACACTTTTGAATAATCTTTTAACTTAACATTATTTGGTTTATTTTGGCAGTACCCAACATTAGTCTTTCGCTGCTGAAGCCTAATTTTCTGGAAATCTTGCTAGAGTCTCATATAGTCATGATAAGGGTGAGTAACTGTGAGAAGATAATGAACATGATCCAAATGTGCTACTTTCAGTAAAACAAAAACAAACAAAAAAACATCTCACTTTAGGGTAATAGTGGCTTGAAACCTAAAGACAATGAAATGAACTCCAAACCTTGGCACTGGCCCATCAACTACCAGGTGTGTTCACTTATTTTTGCTTTATTTTCATAAAATTCAGTTAGCATTACTCTTATGTCAGATGTTTTTTGTTTTTTTTTAAAGGGATTGAGGTTTTCAGGTGTAAATGAGAGTGAATATCGTGTTTACTTACTTGGAAACCCCGTAAGTCCTTTAAACTTTATTTTCCTGCTTTTCTGATCTTCTAGCTAACATTCCATTCTCTCGCCTTTTTCAGGTGGTCTGGTGGATAAATTTGGCCAGCTTGGGGTTGTATGTCATCATGGTAGCAGTGTCATCTATAGCGATTCAAAGAGGAATATCGCTGCAGCAGAAAAGATTAGGTCAATTTCAACTCTGAGGATGACCTGACATTTTAAACATTGACATTTTAAATAAAAAAGTTGTGCATGTTTCAGAGCATTCCAATGTTCTCACGGGAGGAGGTGGACTTCTGCTGCTCGGCTGGCTGCTGCACTATGCCCCCTTTTACATCATGGGCCGAGTCCTCTACTATCATCACTACTTTCCTGCAATGCTCTTCAGTAGCATGCTGACAGGTGCTAAATTCTCATGTATTTTACCTAATTACCATGGTCAGACTGTAACTGATTGATCAACACCAGCACCGCTCTCGACCCCACGAGGGACAAGGGTGTTAGAGGATGGATCTTCTTTCTTTCTTTCTTTCTTTCTTTCTTTCTTTCTTTCTTTCTTTCTTTCTTTCTTTCTTTCTTTCTTTCTTTCTTTATTCTTTCTTTCTTTCTTTCTTTCTTTCTCTCTTTCTTTCTTTCTTTCTTTCTTTCTTTCTTTCTTTCTTTCTTTCTTTCTTTCTTTCTTTCTTTCTTTCTTTCTTTCTTTCTTTCTTTCTTTCTTTCTTCCTTTCTTAGTTTCTTTTGTTGTTTGGTGTTTTGAACTATCTTTTATTTTCACAGGAGTTACCTTAGACACTCTGCTGAGAAATGCCGATCTGTTACTATGCCAACCGTATTCTGATTGGCTGCAGAGAGGAGGGCAGATGATACTTTTATTTACTGTTCTGTACAGGTGAGCTAAGTGAAGCGCTATCTTGTTTGTGTGTGATGTCCACTTTTAAGAGGATGTTTGTAGTTGTCCATCTTTGATTTACAGTACCTTGCAAAACTATTCATACCATTGACTTTTCATACTTTTTTTTACCATCAGAAGGACTAGAGTGCTACTACTTGAGAAGTTCAAAGTGTATTCATACTTTTGCAATGCACAATAATTTATTCCATTTGATGCTCCTTCTGTTCCTAAACTTTTTAAGTTTAATGGTAAGATTGATATAAACTGACTTTTTAATTGGTTAGAAGTAATGATTAATAATTGAAGCTTTCCTCCCCACTTTGTTATGTGATCAGATCAAATTTAAGTTTTAAAATATAGCAGTTCTATTAAGTGTTGCATGGGCTTCTTTTATTATGATTTATTTTGGCTGTCTCTGCATTTAATATAAGTAAGGAGTCTCTGAGCTTTTTTAAATCCTTCTGATTGTGTTTTTCTCAGTTTCTACATGTTTCATCCACTGTCCTACGGCATGACGGGTCCTCTTGCACACGAGCCAGGCAGCGCCATGGCTGGCCTTAAATGGATGGACTCCTGGGAGTTTTAGTCACTTTTACAAGATCTTGACTCTAATGTTGTATAGTGCAGGTCAGAAGTTTACATGCACTTATTATTGGCATGCACACCATATTAATAAGGGACTACAGTGAGAATTGGATGCTCAATTTTCAATTTAATTTGGATTTTGTCCTATAAATGTGTAGATTTTACTGTAGAAAAGAGTCAAGTTTAGATGAAAGCTTTTGTGTCCAATTCTTGACTGTTATATTTATACAAAAAATATTGAAGCTGTTTGTTTTATTGTTCGCTTGAAGAAACAATTCAAATCCATCAATAAAACACCCTTAATATTATGGCAGTCATCCCCATCAAGAGTGTATGTAAACATTTGATCTGACCTGTTTGCTGCTTTGTAACAAAAATATTTTCTTACTGTACTGACTGAAAACATATGTGTCCTAGTATTTGCGTCATAGCATTTCTTGTATTGCAGGCTGTGTGTAGATGAAAAACTGTGAGTTGTGTGTGAGAGTAAAAACTAGATGCTATTCATTGACAAGAAGCCCTTTCTCACACTATGCGTTTCGTCTTTGAGCAAAGGAGCCCCCTATTAACTGATTATGGAAAAGCTGAGTAGCTTAATTCTGAATTGTCTTATTTTTCAGGCATTTTTTCCAGTTGTCCTGATTTTAGAGTTGGCAGTTTGGTAATGAGTGCTTTTGTGAACAACTTCTGAAAGTTTTTACATTTTAGTGTGACAAATAAACTGGTATTCTTTTAATCTCTGGTATCTTTATGCTTTCAATTCATCAAGGCAAACAAAAATACTAAAGCAAAATCTACCATGAATTGCTGACAAAAGCAAAAGTGGGATTAGATAATTAAAAATAAAGTCATACATATCTCATTAGACTTAGACTTGACTTTAGACTTGACTTTATTGATCCCTTGGGAAGACTCCCTCAGGAAATTATTAGGAGATGTAAAGGGGTTTACAAAGAAGCAAACTGGCTCCATTTTTTTTCAAACCAAAAACACTTCAATGTGGATTTTGTCATCAACAGGGTCTTTGACATAAACAACAAATTATCATTATTTTAAGATGTGCAGTTAAAAGTACTTTGCCTTGTCAAAGTATTTACTCTTTCATTTTTTTCACATTAGTGTTTGTGAACTTTACTGGATTTTAATGTGACAGACTAAAACAAAGTGGTGGATAATTGTAAAGTGGCAGGAAAACTGTTCCTGCTTGACAAAATCTTTTATAGATAAAAATGAAAATTGTGACATACATGTTCTCAGACACACCTGGAGCACTACTTGACAGAAACACCTTTTGCTGCAGTTAACAACTGCAAGTTTGTTGGTAAATCTATCTAAAATCTTTGCACATTTAGGGGGATATTCTATTTTAGTTTTGTCTGTTTAGGGTTGTTCTATTGCTGGAAGGTCAGATTCTGCCTCAGTTTGAAGATTTTTGCCATGTTCTTCTAGGATTACTGTGTGTTCAGGTCTGCTATCCTCATTATCATTGACCATTCTTCTGAGGAAGGGAGAATGACATGCAGATGTAGAAATTCAACTTTTTATTTTAAGTTTGTTGGAGCATGGATGTTTACAAACGTAAGAAGATATTCGTCCCTTCTAGACTGGAATCCGGCAACTCTAGGCTATCTTGTAAAATCCCAATTAAATGAATTTGAGTTTGTTTGTTTTTTGATATTTTTGTAATTGTCAGAATATTATATGGGACAAAAGAGCTGTAATTTTTTTATTATAAATAAATACGCAGTTCTAAGTGTCATGTGAAAAAAAATCGATTAAAGACAATTGTAAACTTCCACTTTCTGTAGAAACTGAAAAGCGTCAGTGTGGTTTAGAAGTGATAGTGCGACCCCATGTGGTATGTTTATAAAATGCTTTGCTACAGAGTGAATCACGTTGCAGCCATTGGTTGTAATTCGTCACGTGACCATTCTGAAAATGGCGTCTCCGAATGGAGGTAAATTCTAATTCCTTACACAGATACGTTGCGAATAATTCGTATAATTAGCATTTCTAGGTTCACTAAAAAGCTCATAAATATGATTGTATTATAGTTCGACGCTCGGAGATGAGAACGGACGGATGTTAGCGGGGTATTCTTGCTGTTTTGAGGGATTATTCCGTTGGCCAAAGGCTCCACTCACCCCAGAGGTGTTTGTGTCCAGTTTCAAGGAAACACATAGCTGGTTTAAACCTGCCGGAGAAAAACAACGTTTCAGCTCATATTTTAAGTGCTAGGATATTCCATAATATTTTATTTATCAAACGTTACTGGCTATAACTATGTTAAACTTTAGAGTTTTTAAAACATACGTTATATTCAGTTTTGTTTGACAGTCATACTAATCAAACAAGGCTTGTATAAAGACTGTCTCGTGTAAATGTTCCTTTTAAAAAGATACAATCTTAGAGAAAATGTTAAATTTCCAGATTTAACCGTAAAAATTAAAATTATTATGCAGTTTATATCTCGCCGTTCATAATAAATGTAAACACGAGGAAATACAAGAAAACCGGTGTAATTGTTTTCTTACAATTACAGAAATTTAAATTTATGTATTTTCTTCTATACAGAAACGAATGATTAAATTGATACAATAACATTCCAATCATATTGACAGATTAAATTCAGTGGCACAATCCAATTTTGTCCTAAATAAACAAACTAATTCAGATCATGTGAATTGGTCAAAAGCTAAGGAAGCCCAGACCTTTTCAAGTTGTCTATTCTTCCTGTTAAGCAAGTAAGCGGTCACAGCAGAAAGGAACAACTCTCTTTTAACTGTAGGAAACAAATGCGTGGAGCTTGGAGGACATTTTTTTTACTGTTTATTGTGTGGTCTGCCCTTCTTGTCCATAATAGTTTACATACATCAATTGAGAGATCTCACAGCACTGTTAATGTTATGTACATGTATTGTAAAAGTTCTAAGTTAAAGACAAATATATTTATTGAATGAAATCTTCCAAGATAACAAAAGAAAAATTACAAGAGGAAAGAATGAAACAAAGAAGAATTGCATGAATAATATTATTCTATTGTGGAAATTTTATGCAGTGAGGTTTGAGCAAATTTCCAAGTCACAATAAAGTTTTAACAAATATGTTTGAACGTTTTCTGCCCTGTATGTGTAATATAACAAATTGAGAGTTTTTTTGTCTTCTCAGGAGATGATTTTGAGTCTTCTTTGCTCAGCTTTGAGAATTTGGACAGAGCATCACCAGACTTATGGCCAGAGCAGTGTAAGTCATCCTTCTGCTTTTTCCTTTCCTTTATTTGGTCAGAATTTTTGCATTATGCTTAACCACCTCATAACTTCTCACACAGTGCCTGGTGTTGCAGAATTTGCTGCATCTTACAAAAATGTGGGTTACTTCTATTGGTGATATAAGAAATTAAATGCATGCATAAAATATGCAAACAAGGTTTGTTTTCTGTCTAATTCTGTTTTTTCATCGTTTCACTGTAGCCCATTACAAACTCACCCCCTAAGTGGATGGCTGACCTAGAGAGTGAGGACATTGAAATGTTGAAAGGTAACATAAATATCAAATTCTGTCAAGCTGAATCTGATTTAGTTGCATGTTTTTAAGAGTTCCTAATGTCCTGCCATCTCACTGCAGAACTGGGCAGTTTGACCACAGCCAACCTCATGGAGAAGGTCAAAGGACTTCAGAATCTCGCTTATCAGTTGGGTCTAGAAGAGTGTAAGTGCAGGAATAACAAAAAAAAAAAAAACATCAGTCTAAACATAAAAACTGTCAAATTTGTTTAAACTGTTCAAATAAGTTTGATTTCCTCTCTTTTTTATGCAGTGTCACCACTAGATGGTGCTAAAAGCTTTCACATATCTTGACGTCTTTAATTTCTCCTGAGCTCCTTTAGATCAGCGGTTGAGCTCACACATCCATGCTTGTCATCCAAAAACTGCAAAGTTATTCAAACTTTGCAGTTTACAATTCGCATTTCTGACAAATGACTTAAAAAAAGTCAAAGACAAGGCTTTGAAACGGTGAATGTAGGTCAATCTTGTTAGAAGCAAAAAGAAAGGAAACAGGAGCAGAAGGGGAAAAAATGTTGAAGAATTTGATAGACGCTAAATCTATTTAATCTAGTCCCTCCTACCTCTATTGCCATAATCCTTATGGAGTATGGATTAAAGAGATGTAGCTAAGTGCTCATCTGATGATGCAAAGAGGGGGGAAAAAATCAGTATGAGTTTTGCCTGTGAAAGAGCACTTGCAGAAAATTGTATTGCTCTTCAGGCTTACTTTGATGAGGCATATACAAGATATTAATACCACCTTTTGCTGTATTACAGCTACAAACTTTAGAGTGTTTAATGGGGATTTGTGTGATAGATCCTCACAAAGTTGTGAAATGGGAAGGAGATGTGATTTTTCCAAATGTTTCCCAAATAAAAATGTGGAAATTGGTGAGTGCATTTATCAAAATGCTAAATGCTATCCTCAAAATGAATAAATAAATACTCTAAGCTTTAAATATCTACTCAGAATTGCAGTGGTGGCAGCAACATGCTATGGGGAGGCTTTTCATTAGCTGGGACAGGAGATCTCAGATATGTAAATGGAGATAAATGCAGTGCAGTCCTGGAACAAAATCTGTTAGAGACTGCAGAAGATTGTAAGGCGGGATGATGGTTCATCTTCCAGATGGTTCTAGACATGCAGCCAGATCTACAGTGGTACAATTTAAATTGCATCACATTCATGTGGTAGAATGCCCCAGTCGAAGTCTTGAGCTTAATCAAGTTAACAAGACATGCAAATTGTTGTTGATGCTGCTTTTCATTCTGCATCTGTGAGGTTGAGACATTTTGCAGAAGAAGAAAGTGCAGCTTGGCACAATAGATAGAAATGTCTAACAGAAGTGAAAAGGCATTAAAAGTGGTTGTACAAATTATTGTCTCGGACAATTGTCTGATGCAAATACAAACCGCATTTTCAGATTTTTATTTGTAAATAATTTCCCTTTCACTTCACAAATATTTATTATTTTGTAATCAAAACCCTATTTAAAAGTGCTCAACTTTGTGTGGCACTGAATGCATATTCACGTTTTGTACTTCATAGGAGGTGACCTATTGCAGTAAGAGGGCTCATTAGCATTTACAGAGAATTATGCATACTGGATTAAACCCTCAGAGCTTACAATGTATATATTTGTAGTCTTTTGTGAAATCCATGGTACTAATCAGTTCAGAGATGTTTTATAAGTGGTGGAAATGTGTATCCGATTGTAATCCGGAAGGTCTGCAGCAATAGCATGGGGTAAGTCTATCATTTATGCTGTACATGTCATGGCTGCACAGACCCTTTTTTTGCAAATTCATTTAGTTGAAAAATTATTTAATCTCTTTGACTTTCCTCAACCAGAAGCAGCTTGTAATCTTTCTGGTATAAAGATGTTAGCTGTCATGAGTGCAGGACTGCAGGCTCTGCAATCATGTCATGTTCTTCGGGACGGCGGGACACAATGATGGTTATTATTGGTGTCAGAGCAGCCCTGTAATCGGTGCCTGTTTAATGCTCTCTGGTTTAATTTTCTTCTTTTCCTGGCTGTCAGGGGAGGCCCTGTAAATCTCAGCCACTTTTTCATCATGTTTGTGCACTCTTCACCGCCCGTAAACACACTCGCTCTGCCGAGGCACAGCAGAGGGAGGATAGAGGACAGGATTTACTGCCCCTCCCCCCCTTCAACATGTGGATCATTAAAGAGAAAGCTGGTTAATGGACAGAGCACAATCAAGCACGAAAAACTCATCCACCCCACTGCAGAGATGAAATAGTCCCGAACTGTTCGGCTTTCACTTTTGCTTGCTGTCAGCTGTGTATGTGTAGCAATACCACGAATGAAGGACTGAGGAAGCACATAACCTTTCATTCACTGCCACTTCCTAGACGTGGCGAACCGACGCTGGCCCAGTTTGTCCCTGTGGGACCGGACGCGTGCCTCGTCCTCAGGCCCCAGCTGTTACTCCACCCCATGATGAATGCCCCAGCTGTGGGCCGCTGAGCGTGGGCATCAAGCCCCGAGTCTCTGGGGAAGACGTAGCGTCCTGATAAGTGCCGCTACTGGAGGTAATTCAATGCTGACTGTTCCCCTGGGATGTGCTGAAGAGCCACTGAGCTGGCTGGTTAGGTGCCTGCTGAGTTACTGGGCTCTGGCATTTCCCCACTTGTCAGCTGAAGGTCACTGACTACCAATTTAATACTTATTTCATGTGCTTCTATTTTATGCCAAAAAAACAGCAGAGAAATAACAGTGCAACTGCAGTAAATATTATTTACATTTAATTTGTGGATTGGTAACTATGGATTCCATAAGCGACAAAAATGCTGCTTTATTAAATGCAAAAATCATTATTATATATCTATTAAATATAAAAAAAATAATTCAGTAATTATTTATTAATTTTAGGGCTTCTCTTTAGTTGGGAAACTATCTGATTTTCCAGATCTGGATGATCAGTAAAGGAATAGTTAGTGGAGAAATATTTGTATTTTCTGTCAAATTTGTCTGTCCACCCAAATTTTGTCTTTTATGGCAAAACTAAAAATAAATGACAGCCCTAAATTCATAGTGAACAACTTTTTCTTCTTTAAAATGACATAGAAATGAATGGAGAATACTGTAAATTAAAGTCTGTAAAATATTGGTGGTGATGAATGGAAAATGTGTAATATCCCTAATTCTGGATTTTGGTATTCTGTCAAAATTGATTCATTTATCAGAAATCATTTGAGGGTTTCCTGTACATTGTGCTTGAGAAACCATAAAATGAAAAATCTTTTTATTATTGTAAGATGATTTTTTTTTCTAAAAACGTTCAGCTCAATATTTAATCCAAAATGATGACTCAGTGAAAATAAAATACTGAAAAAAAAATATTTTGAACAAAATAGCTGTTGCCAAATCAAACAATTCCTATAAAAACATGTCATTAAAACATTTTTTAGTAATTTCTAATTGTGAAGTGATTCAGTGCATCCAGAGAGCACCTGTTGTGCTCTGGTTCCACCCAGCACCCATCCAGTGTGACCCCTGCTGCGTCTCCCTGTGTGAAGGGGAGACTGAAGGGCACCCTGCCTTGACAGCTTCTAATGGGCCCGTGTTCTCCATCACCTCCTTCTCACCCTCAGGATCAATCTCCAACCTATTAGGAGTCATGCCGCTGCTGAATATGATTGCATTCACAGGGCCCCATTCGTACTAATGTGTCTCCATCAATCCATCAGGGCGGGCTGACTGCAGGCCGGCCAGTTATGAAGTGCCTGAGCTGACAGCAGCTGAATGAGAAGCAGGGTGTTGCCTCCCTGCCAATGCATTCCCTTCTCCTCTCTACTTTTCCACGCACTCATCTCCATTGTGTCTCTTTGGGCTCAAACATGGCTTGTACTATTGTAATTGTTTTAAAACCATAGATTGCGGTTTTTATTTGTCACCTCAATTACATCGGATAAACTGAATCGGCTCCACCGACTTTCTGCAGCTGGATCAGAAGAGTTGGATAGAGCATAACATGCACACTCTCACACACTTCTCCTCAGTCCCGCCTGCCTCCCGCCTCCCTGAGCAGATCGGAAATGACATCTAATTTCCATAAAGGCATTAGGAATTCATTGGATTTTCTTTCCCAGCTAATCATAGCGCGGGTGTAAAACCTTTTAGGCTTTTTAATGAATGATTTTTGACTGATTGCCTATTAATAAGGACACCTCTTGAACAGGCGCCGGCGTGGGCAGGGGTTGGGTGGTGCAGATGTGTTTGTTTTGGTGTGTGGATGTGTGTGTGAGCTTGTCAGCCAGGCGAAAACGCATCGGAGGAGGTGAGGAGGGGGGAGGAGGGGTGGGCCTTCTCGGTTGGGACATAAAGAGGAACCAGTGGCTCCCCTGGGAAATCACAGCTCGTGTCTGCATCTTAAATATCCCCGTGAAGTATCAATAAGTGGGTAATTGAATTTTGAACACAAACATGAGCGTCAGGTGTATGTGTTGCGAGGCGGGGGAGAGGGGTGCTGGATGAGTATGTGTGCCTTCAAGTGTTTCCACACTCAAGTGTTTGTGCGTGTCATCTCATCCGTGTCCCCGGGGACGAGGGTGGTGAAAGAGGATGTTAAATCCATTAAATAAAGCTTACATCCCATAATAGCTGAGCACCACTCAGAGATGGGCAGTGGGGGTCAGATATGTCCTCTTTATGCTTAATGAAAGTGAATTGGAGCAGTCGGGGCCGGGGCCGGCTCCACTTAACCCGGTTGGTCATCTGTCTGAGCAGCTGACGGCGAGGGGGCGGAGGGTCCGGCAGCTCAGCAGGAGCGTGCCAGAGCAACAGGGTGGGGCGGTTTTTGGAAACTGCAATGATTACTCTCATTTTATACACAGGGGAGCATCAGTGGGGGCTGCGAGAGCAACACCCAGATCACTTGGCATAAAAGAGGGGAAAGTAAGATGTTACACAACTGTGTTCCCTCTGCATTTGCATTTTATCCACCTGGGATTTGCTAAATGAAAACGATTCAGCAGCGAGGAGCAGAAAACTGCAGAAACGTCTGAGCAGCAGCATAAGGCTTCTGGTGATTTCTGTTCAGATTAGGGGAAACGGGCAACATTCGGAACATCCTCCTGGCACCGTCTAGCTGCTGCAAATATAGGTTAATCTTTATTGTTGCTCTGCACCAAGCACCGCCTGAAATCCTCTACCATGGAGAAATTGCTGTGGGAAATTAGGAATTATCTTGAGTGATTAGAAGACATACTTTGTGTTGTTGCTTGGAATTTAACCAGTTAGAGCTAAATGATAATTAGATGGCAACAAATCAGCAGGACAAGGCGATGGCCGGCAGAATCCATGAGGTGTAATTTAGTATGGATGGCAGTCATTACAAGGTGCTGATTAACTTAGTGCAAAATTACTAATTGACCTTTCTAATCAACTAAACAAATCTCTAAGTCCCTCTAATCAGTATTGATCCCTCTGAGTGTATGACAGAATCGGTGTGTTTGTATTTGTGTTTGCTGATTTAGCGTGGGTGTCTAATTTTAAACCTCTATGTGAAACATTTGTTCAAAGAAATCAAACTAACAAAATTTATTTGTAAGATTTTCTCATTTAGTAAAAAAAATATGTTTTTTCTACTTTCTCTAGAAATAACGCTGACAAAAAGAAGCAAAAAAGAAATATGCACAATAATTTGACTGGGCAACAAGCCTTGTGTTTTGTGAAGAATTGAAGTAAAGTTGGTCTCAAATACTTTTCAGATTGTGCTTGATCAAAACTATTAAAAAGCCACACATCCTTTTGATTTCACAATTGTGCACAACTTTGTGTCGGCATATCACATGAAATCCAAACAAAATGCATTAAAGTTTGTGATTGCACTATGATGTGGAAAAGTTAAAATACTTTGTCAAGACTCTACATGAGCCCATATTTACTTTAACAATCACTCTTAACAATATTTTGCAGAAATACGTTTGAGTGAGTCAGTTGCAAGTTTGTTTTTGACTTGTGGGAGGATAGCCTGAACTATATTTAATGAGCAGCTCAGTTGGGTGACAAATCTCTGGAGGTGTGACACGGCTTTGATCTATTTTATAGTTTAGACCCATCATTAGATGGAAAAAGCACCAACAAAAGAAAAGTCATGACCTCCTGGAAATCAAAAATATTACCCTGTTAATGTTTACTTTTTCAAATTTTAGCACATAAAAAGATGTGTGACACTGTCGCGCTGACAATTTTAGGGTCACCCCAGTATAATTGCTTTCCCTCACCTATTTTTAATGACTTCATTTCAATCTAAACCACCTCCTGGATGTCCAGAAGTTGGTAATGAGTTTGTTTAGGGTGATTTGAAGAGACAGCAAAGAGCAAAATGAATTCATCCCATTCCAATTAGCATCATCTCTAACCTCATGATGGACACCTCAAGGTGACAAACCCCCACGCCCAGATGCACCATTACCATTCCACCTTGACCGGCTCATCTAAATTAGTAAAAGCTTTGACTTTTTCATCAGCCGCCGCGGGCTGGCAGCGGCAAGTGGAGATCTAATTACAATCCTTGCAGCTTTCATAAAGGTGAATGTTGCTCCTGCTTTAAAGAAAAACTCTTAAGTTTGTTTTGGCATACAAGAGCTGCAATTTGCTAAGAAAAATTCCGTTTCGAAACTGTGGAAGTGCCTAAATGCTGATCCTCATATGTTTGTTTTTTTTAAATAAATGCTTAACCCAGATGATGTTTCTCGAAGGTTTATAATGCAGATGCCTTCTAAGCCCTTTAAGTCCCGGTAGACTCAAACAGATTTGTCTTTGCCAGGAAGACATCGATAGCACTTATAAAACGAGACTCATGATGGACGATTCCTTCCATCTGCAATGGATATATATATATAACTAAAACTGCAATCACAATATCTAACTACGTCCAATTTTATGTTTTTTATTCCTGAGTGAACAGATGTTTGTATTAATTGCGTTCCTGTGTGGCAGTAGACATGAGAAACATGCTTTGCATGCTTAACAGCTCCACCGATGTTATTGGAATTGTAACTTAAATTTTTTGATTCAATTCAAACTTTATTAAAGACACAATATCCTGAATATCCTGATTCAGAGATTAAATAATCTGAAAAGGAAAATGGAAAAAACATTTTCTGTACAAGAAATTGTCAAAGAAGTAGTGGTTATACTAAACCTGCTCATTGCTGATAATTGATCTTTTGCTTTCTTCTCCAGCCAGGGAAATGACCAGAGGAAAGTTCCTGAACATACTGGAACGACCCAAGAAGTGACAGTGCATTTTTCAAGCAACAGGACTGACATTTAAGATGACGAAGCATTTAAGATATCTGTGCATTAATATTTTTTTTTAGAAAGATATTTGAAAGCCGTTACTGCGTTCAGTTTAACTGGTTAAACCCTCAAACATTTTGTCATCTAGATGCAGTCCCTTTTCACTAATCTTTTTCTCTCTTAGAAAGTTTGATCAAATCAAATGCTCATTATTTATTCTTCTCTTTTAAATATTAATTTCATTTTTGTAACTCTTTAACTTGTAAAATAAAGTTTTCAAATGAAAAGAGAAAATATTTGTTTGTTCTTTGTTTAACTCGAGTTTCAAAGTTTAATAAATGAAGGATTTTAATTAGAGCAATAACAGCGTACGTCAAAATGCAGCACCTTCCTCCTGTCCTCATTGAAGAGACCCAGATATTACAGTTTTACCCAGCCCACAAGGCCTCGCTTTCTGTTTAATGAGCTTTGGAAGCTGGGTCCTCTACACAAAACATTGCGTAAAAATAATATTACTCATTGTGGCCGTGGTTAATAAGAGTTGACATAATTACGAGGACCATTTCTTTTCTAATTAGCACACTTCAGCGTTGTCTGAGGCTGCGGCCGGGCAAAAAAAGGGAACCAGACAGGCATGGCGAATGGGAAACAAAAAGAAGTCCATCCGCTGTAATTAGGTGAGACAATGGCTCGGATTGTTCTCGGCTGGAGATGTCGCCGGGGCTCTGCCTGCTCACTCCCCAACAACTTACACTTCTCCCTGGGCCGCTAATAAGCCCCTAATCGTCCTTCCGATTCACACGGACAGAAGCTGCTCCGTCCTCTGCAGCTTCACCCCCTGCCTCTCACACGGACCCTCGCTCACCTCTCTGGAAAAACAAACACTGCCTTTGGAAAGAAGCTTTATGGATATTTCACATTTTGTCACGTACAAGCAAGAAATTTCAGTGCATTTACTTGGGATCTTTCTTTAATATAAGAAAGTAGTAAAAATGAATATGCACCTAAATAAAGTGCCAGGAGAGAGCACAGTGACTCTCTAGGAGCTGCAGACATCCACAGCTCAAGCGGGAAAATTAATTAAGACAGCTGGTAGTTGTGTATTCCCAATCTGAGGTTTTTCAATGCATAGTATGATTGAAGCCAAATATAAAGTTTTCTATTATGACCTATAGCAAACATAGAAAGTGTTGAGTCAGACAAAACTAAAACTTTTTGGCCTTTTGGAGCCTGTGTGGAGGAAAATTAACACTAGACCTCTGTATGAAGAACACAAAACGAAACTTTTAAGTTTTATTATCCCATGCACGGAAAATATTGATACATAGAGGGCAGTGTGGAGGGAGACTAACCCTGCATGTCAGCTTGTTTGCATTTCATTATGTTTAACATGGTGGTGGTAGTATCATGCTGTGGGGAGCCTTTTCTTCAGCTGGAACAAGGGAAACTTATAAGTGATGATTGGAAGGTGGATGGAGGATGTTGTGAAAGAGGCTGGTGAAGATCGATGGGTTGGGGGTTCACCTTCCAGCGTTGCAATGGCCCAGTCAAAGTCTAGACCTAAATCCATCTGGTAATTTGTGTTATTTAAAAACAAATGTTTCTAGAAGAAAAAAAGCATTTTAATCATCTAGATTCCAGAAGCCATGTCTTAATATTTTTAATGCACACCAAATTTTCGATTTTCTGCATAATCCACAAACAATACCTCAAGTAAACTCTGTGGAAGAGATTTGAATCCACAAAGGGTCTGCTAATTCAAATAAAACCCTTAGTATCTTAAGTCTGCTAATTGAAAGTAGATTATAAACACGTAGTGATTTACGAATCGCTCAAAAATTGTCTTGCTGTCACCAGAAACCGGTTGCATGTTGACACTTGTTGGCGCTGACTGAGGCGCATTGATCAGTCTGCTTTCTGACATCCCCAATACGACGCACGCACCGGTGGCTCGCCTGTCACCCGCAGCCAAGCGGCCCCCTTCAGGAAAACGGGTCAGCCCCCGCAGAGCTGGTCATCCATACTGGAGAGAGAAGGAGGGGGGGATTAGTCCATCCATCCATATGCAGAGCGTCTGGCCTGACCTCACATGCCACCGTGCCCCGACAAACGTCAATCCGATGAGCCCCGAGCCCTTAAATTAGCTGTCAATTAGTGCAAATTAATCAACTCCTCGCCTAATTAAGCAATGCCAACGGGCAGCTACCAAACATGCCGTTGTCGGGGGACCATGAGAAAGCTGCGGGGCTTGCAAACTGTCTGTAAGTTGTGGAGAGGGGAGAGCAGAGGGGAGGGCTCGCATCACATCACGCCCAGCTCATGCTGACGTTTTTTTCCGCCTGACTCGGCGCTACATGTTGGCTGTCATCGGGTTTCCTGGACACTGTCTCAACACCGAGAGGTTTGACTCAGCACCCGCGTCTTAGCGAAGAGTTTTCTGTTGTTTTCTGAGGCAGAACAACAGTAGCCTATTGTGATCTGATTAAAATGTGCAGATCTGTGCAGCTTTAACCTTCCCTTAAAATATGAAGCTTATTTTTAAACGATTCATCAGGCGCTTTCGGCACAGTAAGATACCTGATATGCATTGAAGTGGGCGACTTTACTTCATACTTTTTAAAAATATGTTAAACTCTTTGGCATAATGCGCATGCGTTCCCTGCAGGATGGAGCCTGGAGAAGAAAAAAAAGGGAAGTTCAAAAGGGGAAGTGGCTTTGGTTCATGGGAGTTAAAAAAAAAAAAGGAATCAGCAGATGTTTGCTTTTTAATCTGCAGCCGTCCATCAGATCTTACAGATCTTTGATGGGCAACCCAATCTACACGAATGACTGAACTAAATCCCCCCTTAATCTAGAGCCTTATTAGGAAGCCTCTTTCCTGCATGTAAATCAGGCTGCATCCATTTCACAGAGGACGGATTAATAGAGAAGAAAACGGAAGGAGAAAGCGTTCCGCCATAAACAAACAAAACAAACAAACAAATAAGCTGTATGGATTGCAGGAAGAGTGATGATGGAGTGAGAGGCCTTCTATTGCACACCCTCCCGTGTTAATAAATGACTCCATCCCAACAGGCTGATGTGTCATTAGCATATCCTAATAACATTGATTTCTTCATTAATAGAATTTCCACTAAATAGGCCCTAATTACTTTCAACTGGCTAAACACTAATTGCAGCAGCAATATTTTTTCTTCTTGTTAATCAGTTGCTTCTCTCTCACTGAAAATATGGCGATTCAGGGTTCAGGCTGCGCGCTTGGGCAAAAACACTTTTACAGGCCATTTTAGTGGATTAACTGAACTCAAACTGTGTGGCGGTGTGAAGACTTACTCTAGAAGTGGCCTGATGCGCATGCGTTTGTTTATCCTTTGAGATATTATTTAACAGCACCACTGTTGTGAGACATATAAATTGTGTGCAGTAGCCTAAATTAGAGTGAGAATAAAAATACACAATTTATGCATTTTTGTTTATATATAAAAAAACAACAATAGAGACTTTTATGTTTTTTGGTTCTTCCATCTTTTAATCGACAAAAAATACTAACTGTGCACCAGGTCGATTATATTGCCCTGACAATGACGATAATTATTAGCTTATTATTGTCAGTAGACAATGAATGTTTTTATGTTTTTTAGATTTTATTTCAGATTTACCATTGTTGTTGAGTTGTTTCCTATTATTATTATTATTATTATTATTATTATTATTATTATTATTATTACTACTACTACTACTCCTACTACTGCTAGCAGTAGTAATAATCATTTTAATGTACATTATGTCATATTTTATTGATATATATAAATATATATTACTGATTTTTCATATTACTCTATTATGGCGGTGCTGGTAGAAATTGTGGACTAACAAATATTATTTTGGCTTTAGAATTTAGTTTCATTATTATATAGGCTATTTAATATCTGCCAGTTATTATTATTATTATTATTATTATTATTATTATTATTATTATTATTATTATTATTATTATTATTATTATTATTATTGCTGCAGCTGTTGCTGTTGCTGTGGGATTAGCACCATGCAGCACTGCGTCCATCTCCACACCAGCTGTCGGGTTTTTTTTTTTTTTTTCCTTTTTTTTTTTTTTTTTTTTTTTTTTTTGAGGTGGGCCTTTGATTCGCGTGTGATGAGTTTCCCGGAGCATCTGGAGATCAATTATCCATCCGTGTGAGCCGGTGGTTGGGCACATAGATCATAGTAGGCTCTGTCTGTGTGTTTATATGTGTGCGTAATGCATTCCGCGAAAGGCAGATTTAGAGATTGAGGTAATTTTCTATAAACCTGCACCATTTCAAAGACACTGTATCGGGAGGAGAGGGGAATAGGTTTAATTTGTTCTCATTCACTCACGAGCTTTCAAAGAGAGCGTCCAATCTATTTAATCTGATGCTGTTTTTCTTTTCTTTCTTTCTTTTTTTGACGTTGTTAGTGTTACTTCAATTCATTTTGGGTTTATATATATTTTTTAAACCTTTGATTTAGTTAATCTATATTTTAACTGAAGCTGCTCCACACAGTCCTCAGAAAAAGGCAGCGATGTGTTGGAGAGGGCGTAATACATCCATGATCCACTGGAATCCTGAATCCTGGCAGCTGATTGGCTGCGTGGTGCAGCCTCCTGTTGGGATGGACCTGTTGGATAAAAGGACCATTTTCTAAACGACGGTGTGGGACGCAGAGGATCATGTTCAAGGAACCCTCCTGTGAGACGACATAATAAAGAAATATATTTTTTCGAGGGCCATCCAAAAGCACCATGACGGGGAAAGAGGGCGCAGTGCTGTCGGAAAGTTTAAATCACTCAGAGAAAACGTCTCTGGGTGCAAATGGAGGGAGCAACAGCCAGCAGCCGAAAAGCAGCGCCAGCCACCCACCGACCAGGTGCACCGGCTTCGGCATCCAGGAGATCCTGGGGCTGAATAAAGAGCCGCCCTCCATTCCGAGGAGCCCGCTGAGCTCGCTGCCGGCAGGGGCGCACCTGATCGCCGCCAGGTCTGTGCTGGGCCCCGCGGCCGTCGGTGTGGGTGTCGGGATGGGATTAATTGGCCCCGGTGGAATTCCGTCGTTTTACAGCCAACCCGCTTTCCTGGAGACGGTGCTGTCAGACGGTCAGGACGTCCACCTGCAGCACCACAGCAGGAGCGTGAGGCCGCTGGACCCCAGCCAGTCTGCCAGCTCAGGTGATCCACGGACACTCATGACAAATCCTGCAATGATGCTGCGACACGGATGACAGCTGTATTAGTCATTAACGGAAAATAGCA